GCTTCTCACTACTGCACTTGACTAGTCTAAAATAAAAAAATTAAAAATAAAAAAATCTGGTGCTCTGCTTATCCAGGGATATGCACTTCATTTTCAAATGATATACCAATTTTACTTTTTTCAGGTATTTCCAACCATGCAATTCACATATGCCTTGCTTTCTATCAAATCTTTAAAGTCATTGTACCAATTCACTTCTGAAAGAACAATACATTTTCCACTTTGCCAGAGATGTAGTCCCACAATTGTATTGCCAAAATAAAGATATTTTTAAATGAGCACATTTTAAAAGAATAAGGAAAATTCCAATTTGAATAATGTAAATAACTCCTTAGCTCTTAGTCTCTAACAGGAATGCTTAAAAACAAGTGGTAATGCTTTAATAAAACAAAACAGAATTCTAGTATTCAAAAATGTCAGAATGTATTTTTATTTCAGCTGTCTTAAATGCCTACACTGAAATATTACATACATACCAAAATGTTACATACATTAAAACTTGTAACTAAAAACTTTTTTTTTTTTTGAAATAGAGTTTCACTCCATCAGCCAGGCTGGAATGCAGTGGTGGGATCTCACTGCAATCTCGGCCTCCCAGGTTCAAGTGATTCTCGTGCCTTGGCCTCCTGAGTAGCTGGGATTACAGGTGTCCACCACCACACTCGGCTAATTTTTGTATTTTTGGTAAAGACGGGGTTTCACCATGTTGGCCAGGCTGGTCTTGGACTCCTGGCCTCAAGTGAATCACCCACATTGGCCTCCCAAAGTGTTGGGATTATAGGCATGAGCCACTGCTCATGCCTTAAAAACTATTTCAGTGTATGGATGCTTTAAAAACAAATTAACTAATATGATCACTTTCATCAGTGAAGTAGTATAGAGTATACGATTAAATACTGAATGTAATCTGTGGAACCAGGAGTACTATATACTGCTTCATTCCTGGCCTCGAGTGATCCGCCCACATTGGCCAGGCTGGTCTCGAACTCTTAACCTTAGGTGATCCTCCCGCCATGGCCTCCCAAAGTGCTGGGATTACAGGCATGAGCCACCGTGTCCAGCCAATGTGGGTGGATCACTTGAGGCCAGGAGTCCAAGACCAACCTGGCCAACATGGTGAAACCCCATCTTTACCAAATATACAAAAATTAGCTGGGTGTGGTGGTGCTCTTAAACTTTTCGAAAGTATGGACCTTTTGGGACTCTTCCAAGAAGCATGCAGTCAAAAGAAAAGTTTGCAAACAACTCCAGGGTGAACAGACCCAGGTTAAAAACTCCCAATATACTCTTGTGGGTAAAAAGTTATTTGCACATTAAAGTAAGATTATTTGAGGGCTATCTCTATACAACAAAAGGGGGAGTATATGCTAAAAAAGAAAACATATGATGCTTCATTTCTACTTAATGGCACTTGTGTTATGAGGGTCATTATGGTGTTGTAATGTAAAGCTTGGATGATGTTCCTGATTATCTGAAAAACAGATATAGAAAACCTATACAGGACTTAAATAATTTTCATTGAACATGCTGCCATAACTTAGATTATCCTTGGTTAAGAAATAAAAGTCACTTATTTCTAATTCTTAGTTTATAACATATATTAATGTAGCTAAAATTGTATATAATCAATAAAACCAACCTTATTTTTATTAAAAAAACTCCCAATCCGAAACACACCTTCATATAATGTATTTTAATTGTGTCTATTCAAATAGGCAGCCTACTTGTTAGCTTTATCCTGGCCTGGCTTTTCATTCAGCTGAATGAAATACAATTTCAAAAAAATATATAGTAACTTATGATTAATCTGGTCCATTTAGAAGGATTTCCTCAATCATTAAAAACTACAAATTTGCTCTAATTTTTGGATAAATCATTAACAATTCTTACCAGTTTTGTTTATAAATATTTAAACTGGCCAAACAGGCTTACATTTATGTTATTAGCAGAATGACCAAGAGAAAAAATTTTATTAACATTGTTGAAAACTAGAAAGAAATCAAAAGGGGATCAAATCAGTACCACTGACCAGGTATGTGAAATACTGTTCACAACCTGTCATGTACTGGCCACAGAGCCTCAGACACCTGACTCTGAATCAAAGTTAATCTACCCGCTTGTGGAACTTTCTAAAATCTCTAACACTCTAAGGTCAACAGCAGTAGCACTAAAACATTCTATGATATGATGAATTAAAAAACACACAAGAATAAAATATCAAATGGCAATTTTTTCCCTTTCTTTAAAAATGTTCATAAATAGTAGTCTGATCTATTTTAAGTAGAAAGGTAGACAAGCAAATATTATTTTACAATCATTTCTATGATTATAATAGTTATAGTTTTAAAATTTAAGTCTGGGATGGATTAAAATACAAATAATGGAAAATATTCCCCTGACATTTATTGAAATATATCCTTTGATTATGTATTAGAATAAACAAAATTGGCTGGACAAGGTGGCTCACGCCTGTAATCCCAGCACTTTGCGAGGCTGAGGCAGGAGGATCACCTAAGGTCAGGAGTTCGAGACAAGCCTGGCCAACACAGTGAAGCCCTGTCTCTACTAAAAATACAAAAAAATTAGCCGGGGTGGTGGTGGGCACCTGTAATCCCAGCTGCTCGGGAGGCTGAAGCAGGCGAAATCTCTTGAACCCGAAAGGCGGACGTTGCAGTGAGCTGAGAACACACCACTGCACTCCAGTTTGGGGGACAACAGTGAAACTCCATCTCAAAAAATAAAAATAAATAAAATTACAATAAAAATTCATCTAGGAATGTACTAGTACAAAATAAAAGTGTTTTTATCAGTTTAAAATTCACACACTAGGCCCTGTGTGATTCAAACATACAAAACAAAGCCCCTATTCTAAAGGATTGCCCGATGCTCCTAGAATAGAGAAATATTAACTGTATAAAGATGAGAAATTATAATAGCCCCCATGTTCATAGCCCTCAAGGAAAGTCTTTATTATTTGTTCTATGTGAAACCTATTGTTGTTGCAAACATTTTATTTTGTATACTAAAGCAGGCTAAGAATTAAATACAACCTTAATAAAGAACAGGACAAGAAAGTTTAAAAACAATCTTTTCCAAAAGTCACATGATTTGGAAAGAAAGCATCTGCTGTAAAGCAAACCAAACAAAACCCCAAAGAGAGGTAATAAAATTGAACTTTCCAAGGAAAAGGAAGCTGTGTTTCTTAATCACCGTTCATTCTTACATTTTGCAAAAAATACTCATCTTAAACATCACTTGGTCTTACAAAATACAATCCTTCATTGCCACTATTTTGTAGATTTTATAAAGAATGTAAAATACTGTCTTTTTCTAAAGGTTGACAAAGGCAACAGTATTTTTCTCCCCACGTAGTTCTTACCTACTTGGTCAAAAGAGCTATGACTCTTCATAACCCATCTAATCAAAGTAATGTTTTAATTAATCAAGTTCAATGAAAAGAACTTGAGGAATTGCCAAGTTTCTTTTTTCAATAAATGTCAAAGCTATGACATGTAATAAATTTGATAAACTAGTAATATATTCTGCAGTCATTACATATGTCCCAAGTTTTCTAAATTTTGGTATATAGACTGGGCTGTGTTCTGAAATCTCATTAAATGTCACGGTTTTCAAGTGAATTCAGCAAAGCCTCAGTGGTGGCCTACTTACACATTTAGTGCTAGCAGTTGATCAGGGCTCCAATAAAATATAAACAGAAATGGAAGTAACAGAACCATTTCTGCACACTTTTCAGGTAAGTGAAACATATATTATCACCTTTCCATTCTATTTCCGAACGTGGTATCAGCGGATGCAACAATGACCACAGAGTGTAGCAACACAGAAATCTAAGCATAAAAAAGTACAGGTTCTTTTTTTTCTTTTCCCAATTAAAAACCCTACGTCCCCTGCTGGTTAACTACAGCACACTGCATAAAGTTTTCTGTGATGACAACTGTTTCTAAAAAGCAAACCTTTCTTCCTTTCAAAGTGTCTTCCTCAGATCCATAGGTCATGATTGATTCCAGTACTTCTGATGTTAAGGCACATGGTGATGACTTTTCTTTGAAAACTAGCGGGTTCGAATCTAGGCCCCAGTGCCCTAGTGTCTGCCGTTATGCTTCCAACTCCGGGAAGTGAGGGAAGCCCACCTCGCGACAGGGTTTACCTACAGTAAGCAGCCCAGAGCCGGAGCAGCGACGCAGAGGGACTTGGAAACAGAAAGCGAACGTACTATGGGGCCGCAGCGGATCGCCGCGCCAGACGCAACCCGGTTAGCAACATATGGGAGAGCAGGGATGGTTCCCAGACCCTTGACAAGCGCGGTGACGGCTCCGCGGGGCCTGGCGGCGGAGGCGACGCGAGGTTGCGGCGGCGAGGGGCGCGGCGGACCGGTGGTCCGCTGGGGGAGCCCGGCACATTCCTCCCCGCGGCGGAGGCGCACGTGGGGCTCGAGGCCGCAGGGCCTGCAGAGGCGGCCGGAGTAGAGGGCGGCAGGTGCGGGAGAAAAAGAAGACGGGCCCCGGAGGCCGCAGGCCCGAGCAGGGGAGGATGATTCCCGGAGCGAAGGCATGCGGGTCCGCGAGCCCAAGACACCTGCACCGCGGACGGAGTGGGGAAGTCAAAGGCGTCTAGAGACGGCAGTGTCAGGGTCTGAAGGAGAGACCGGATGGGAGCCCCAGGGACGCTCGCCGGCGCGGAACTCAGCTCACCGTGCCTCCGTCCTTAATGATGATCTTCTTGGCCAGCATGATACTGCGGTTCGCGGCCCGTTTCTTCTTCTTCCCCTGGGTCATTTTACCATCCTCGATTCCTGGCGCTGCTGCAGCCACTCCCAGGGCGGCCGGCTCCAGCGGCGAGTCCCGTCCCGCCACTACTGCCGGGCCGAGCCGCTCCGGGCGCCCGCCGCCATCTTGAGGGCCCGGCCAGCCTCCGGCGGCGCGCGTCACAATCGTGCGATCAGCCGACAAGCGCGCCCCGCCCCGCCCACGTGATGCCACCCCGCCCTCTCGCCCGCCGGCCGGCTCCTTATTCGTCGCGCGTGCTGCTGGCTACCTGTACAGCTCCATGCTCCGCCTACACCAGCTCCCTAAATCCTCACAACGGTTCTGGACGGTAGGAAGTCGTTATTGTCCCCCTCTCTTCACAGATGGGGGGAATTTGTTTCAAAAAGTTGTTACCTGCTCACGGAAACGGCTGATAAATGGTGGCACCGGAATTCTAATCAGAAGTCCTAAGTTACTAGCATAATCTCCAGCTGTGTTATAATCAAGACAGCAACGGAAGGGAACCGTAAAGAAGAAACCATTTTCCATAAGTAGTGGGTAACCTAAGAGATAAAGATAAGGTGATGTTTCAGAAACAGTCACCCAGGCTGGAAGGCAGTGGTGCCATCATGGCCCCCTGCAGCCTCGAATATCTGGGCTCAAATGATCGTTCTGCCTCAGCCTCCCAAGCGTCTGGAACTACAAATGCACACCACCATGCCTGGCTAATTTTAATTTTTCTTTTGTAAAGACAGAGTCTGGCTATGTTGACCAGGCTGGTTTCAAACCTGGCCTCAAGAGATACTTGCTTCTCCCAAAATGCTGGGATTACAAGGTGTGAACCCCCGCCAAGCCTCACCTGCAACTTTTTAGTTGACATCCAACTTAAAGCTCTTTAGAGAAAGTAATATGATAGATTTTATAACTCAATTCCCAGGGGCTTGTTTTGAATGGAAGTAGAAGGCTGATAATTTATTGTGTGGTTACTCTGATTTTCATAGCCCCTGAAAGTCATAGTTATCCAACTATGCCAGTTTTATCAGCCTTATGAACTGCTTATTGTTCAGTCATTCAAAAAACCTTTAATGGGTGCCTCTATGTGTTTTTCAGTATTTTATTAGATGCCAGGGATACATCAATAAATGAGAGAATATTTATCTGCATGGAGCTTACATTCTAGTGGGAGACACAGTTACAAAACAGAAGAAAGGTAATTGCAGATTGCAGTAAATGCTGTTGGAAATAATGTAGTAAGAGAAATTTAACACATACTAAATGTCCAGAATGTCCCAGACTTTGTGCTAGATTCTAGGCTGCAATAATAAACAACAGAGATCAGTCCTGTTCTAACAGGCCTATTGTGTATGAACTTGTGGCTTTGTATGTGATTTGGGTTGTGAATACAGCTGGCCCTCAGTATCCTTCTATGGATTCAACCATCCTCAGAATAAAAATATTTTTTAAAACCCCACAAAACAATAAAAAAAAGTAAAAAATACAGTATGACTATACAGCATTACATTGTATTAAGTACTATAAATAATCTAGAGATGATGTATGTGGGAAGATAAGCAAATAACTATGCCATTTTATGTAAGGGGACTTGAGCATCCACTGATTTTGATAGCCACGGGAATCCCACAACCAAGTCCCACTCCCCTCCCGCATATGGAGGGATGACCGTGTTCACAAACTTCACACTAAGAGATTGATATGTCAGGGTTCTTTGGTTAAGATCCACAGAAACTAACACTGGCTAACAAACTAGCACTCGCTAACATAAGCAAAAGGGAATTATTTCGAAGAATACTGGGAGTTTTGAAAATTAATGGGAAGGCCAAGAATCAGGCTTGGAAATAAGCAGAAACCAATGTTTGGAAAGTCCATGAGAAAAGCTCATAAGGCACCTTAAAAGGGAGTGGGATTCCTTGGAAAGAATGGCAAGTGGCCAAAAGTAAAAGATTCCTAAAGAAACAAGATTGTATCACAGAATCCAAATCCCAACTCCACTGTGAACAATTTACTAAAGAAACTGCACTTCACCATGCTAAAAGAAGCGGGTCCTCTTTAACTAAAAACTGAGTAAGTCACCCCATCCCTTCTACCCTCCTTCTAGAGAACCACCTGTTATTGCTGATTCAAGAAAATCCTGCACATTTAATCATGAATAGAAAAGCCAACAAAAATACAAGACTATTAGAAAAAAATGGAAAATGAAAACTTTTCAATCAATAGAAAATACTAACCTCTAGAAAATAGGAAGCAGAGGAAAATTATATACCACTCCAACATGAATATCATTTAATAAGTAACTGCAGATATAAAAGGACACAGCAAATAAAAATTTTAAAACTCAGTAGTAAGATGTAAAATGAGAGCTGATCAAACAGGCAATATACTAAAAAGATAAAATATCTAAAAATGAAAACTACAGGGTACCTGAGAAATACAAATAGAAGTAAAGTAAGAAACACAGAGAAGAAGAATAAAAAAGCTATGACAACAAAAATGACATAAAAAGGATCGGAGATAAAATAATACAGAAAAAATTATCTGGGCCTCTAGGTAAAAACAACAAACAAAATGTCATTTCCAAAAGGGAAAAAAATCAAGTGGTGCCACACTTCTTGATAATAACACCAAGCAATATAACACTGAAGCAAAAATTCAGACAAACTCAAGGAAATGTTTGCCAAGGATTTTCTATGTGGCCAAGCTGTACTTTAAGTATCTAGGCTCCACAACTCAGAGACTATTGCACAGTACTTACAATATTCAAGCCCTCCTTGAATACTCTACAGAAGAGCTTCATCTAGCCAAGGGTTGACTGGAGAGACTTCAGGTAAGTATCAATAGGGCGTTAAACATCTTTTTTAAATTTTAATTAATTTTATAACAAAGCTGGGGATTAGGATGGGAAAACAGTATAAATATTATATGTTCTAATCAAATAGAAATAAGACAACTACAAAAAATATGGAGACGGCTGGGTGTGGCAGCTCATGCCTGTAAGCCCAGGACTTTGGGAGGCCGAGGCAGGTGGATCACCTGAGGTCAGGAGTTTGAGACCAGCCTGACCAACATGGAGAAACGCCATCTACTAAAAATACAAAATTACCTGGGTGTGGTGACACATGCCTGTAATTCCAGCTACTCGGGAGGCTGAGGCAGGAGAATCACTTGAACCTGGGAGCCAAGATCACTCCATTGTACTCCAGTATGGACAACAAAGTGACACTCCGTCTCAAAAATAAATAAATATATATATGAAGAGATAATATGTTCACCAACTGTCACAGATAATTAGCATCATTTAAAGCTGTCAAATTAAATAGTAAAGGACTCGACAGGTAAACCAGGGACTCTAAACGCATTACATAAAATGTCATCAGGATAAATTGTAACTAACACACAAACCTTTCTAAACATCCAAAGAAATTTTACAAAGACCTCATGTTGTGAAAGAGGCACAGTAAGTATAGCAATATGCATCTTTGTTTGCCTTTTAGAAAGAAACACATGAAAAATAAATCAGAAAACTAATAAAAATAAATACCTATAGCAGATGATTTTAAGGGCTAGGTATGAGAGCCAGTCTTCTCAGAGTATACTTTTCATATAAAACTTTTCTTTTTCTCTTTTTAAATTTATTTGTTATTGTTTGTAGAGACAGGATCTCACTCTGTTGCCCAGGCTGGTCTTGAACTCCTGATCTTAAGTGATACTCCCACCTCAAACTCCCAAAGTGCTGGGATTACAGGCGTGAGCCACTGCACTTGGCCATGTTGCTAAATTTTAATTGTAAATGTTAATTAAAATTCACGATCTTTTAAAATTGTATTTCCTAGCTCTGTCCACTAAAATGGCCTAGAAGCAATGACATATCAGTTACAATGGATTCTATAATAAATTCCATTTACTGGCTAGAAAAAAATAAATCCCACTCCCCTTAAAAGGAACAGGGCTCCTTCGAGAATTAGCTGATAATCCAGGTTTGGAACAAGACAAGTACAAGGTAAGCCTCAGATTTCTTGTGCCTGAAGCAAGAAAGGACTAGAAGACTAATGTGGTCATCTTTAAAAACATAAGAGCTAGCTTGCTGTGACTTCCACGAGCTAGAGGCTCACAATATATATAAGCAAAAAAAAGAACTGTGACCAGTTGGCTATAATATATTAAATAATTTTTTAAAAATTCATGAAGACATAGTCATTTTTTAAAGAGAGGTATTGTAGAAACAGAGGGAAATACGCTTTTTTATTTTTAAAAAAGAATATAAATGAATAAATGTAGAAGAAATTTAGAGCATTAAAAAAAAATGAATCATCATTTTGCACCCCAGTGTAATGAATGATTCAGTCAAGAATCATCAGCTGATGCTTAGCTGAATACCCTGGTGCCAAAACATTACTCTCTAGATTACTAAATGCGAAAAAATGACCTTTACCATGGGGAGAACTTTACATCACCTTTACCATGGTATAGTAATCATCTTAACCAAATAATCCATTACCAACATTAATAACGAGATAATCTGTGCCTTTTAATGTGATACAATATAAAATCTGTGAAATATTTTTACCCAGTACATTTAAACTGAAGGTAATCAAACCTAAAGACTTGACTTCCAGTTCAAAGGGCATGAAAGGAATAAAGGGAATGAATCAAACCACACAGATCCAGAATAGGAGCAAAGTAACTCTGGTCCTTCAAAAAGTACTATCATGGAGAGAAAAGTCTCTAGGGGTAGCATTTTGAGACTCTTGGTATAAAAAAGCCATTGGGAGTGGTGGTGTAGGAAGGGGACTTCTAGACCAAAAGAGACAATCAAATACAAAACATTAACCTTGATTCTACCCTGGTTCCAAAATAAAAAAGCTATAAGAAATCATTTTTGAGACAATTGGGAATACAGTTGACTCTTGAACAACAGATTTGAACTGTGTAGGTCCACTTATATGCAGATTTTTTTTCAGCCAAATGCAAATGGAAAACACAGTATTTGCAGGATGTGAAACCCACCCAGAGGGCGGGCTGACTTTTCCTATTCGAGGTTTTCCCTTACGGACAGGAGTGTGCCCAGATCTTGGTATACACAAGGTGAGGGTTCTGAAACCAATCCCTCACCTTTACAAAGGGGCAACTGTATTTGAATTTGAACTTAGATGAAGTGACCTGAATTAATTTAAATTTTATAAGGTGCAATAATATGGCACTGAGGTTAATTAAGAAAATGTCCGCATCTTTAGGTCACGCATGCTGGAGTATATAGGGGTAAAATATCCCAACAAAGATAAAGCTAGTGTGGCAAAATGTTAATAATGGTTGGATTTAGGTGGTAGACCAGTCTTTCAAATTTTTTGTATGCTGCAAAATGAAAAGCTGGAGGAAATTTAATTTAGAAAAAAGTTATTTAATAATGCCACATATGTGAGTTCATGGAGGTAACCATGAGTTTTTTAAACCTAAATTGGCACAATTTGTCATAGTATGATTGAAGCCATTAAAATGGCAATATTATAAAAACAACATATTGAAAACAAAATGAAATTGGCACGTGAGAGAATTGAGAAACATAATATGAAATAATGGAAATTTGAGGCATTATGTATATATAATATACAAAATAAGTGTCAAGTTTTAAAATTCTAGAATTCATAGCAATATGACTGGAACAGACATAAAATGAAATGGGCACACATCTTTCATGATTTTCTATAATTCTCTCGTCACTCAGGAAATATTACCCTGCCTTGGCTATATTAAAAAGACCTTTTGAAGCAGCATGTATATATTAAAAAAGCACTTAGCATCATCAATGCTAAATTTACTATCCAAGCAGAATAAAATAAAACTTTAGCCTAAAAGGAAAAACTTAATAAACCTTATTAGAAATCATGTTTGTACATGCAGTATCTTTTAAAAGAGCAAACACAGATACACAGATTTTGTTTAAAACACACAAGTCTGATTAGTACTAAGCAAACCTCTTAAATACGCTACATTTAAAGCTGGGGTGTCCAATCTTTTGGCTTCTCTAGGCCACCCTGAAAGAATTGTCTTGGGCCACAAATAAAATGCAGTAACACTAACTATAGCTGATGAGCTTTAAAAAGAATTACAGAAAAAAATCTCGTAATGTTTTAAGAAAGTTTACGAATTTGTGTTGGGCCACATTCAAAGCCATCCTGGGCTGCATGAAGCCCGTAGGCTGCGCATTCGACAAGCTAAAGTATATTTTAACAAATGAATTTTCAGATGATTGTCACAAAACACCGTAACACAACCATTATTCTTTTAAATCTTCAGTGAGTTCTACCTTTAAAAAGAAGCAAGTGTGTATCTAAGACAAATTGTATATTTCCAAAAGAACACCATGTTATTTGTTTTAAAGAAATTACCTCTAACATTTTAGAAATCCCAAATGAATGAATGAAAATGAATGCACAAATGAAAACACCTGATTCTCAGGTCAAATGGAGGAAAATGTGATACAAACACTAGTGAAGCCCTACTGGGAGCAAAAGTAACAACTGGTTATCAGGTTTTAGCTCTTCCTTGTAATGGTGATAGGTAATGGCTAATTTAAAATTAGTTCAAAATTGTATATTAATATACAATACAGATAAAAGGTTTATAAACCATATTTTAAATTTGTCCTTAAAATAGTCCAGCATTTATCGTTGTCATTAAACATCAGAACTGAAAATTAAATGACAATACTATACTCTCTCTATATATCTATATGTGTTAATCTGGTATCTGATTATAAATATATTTCCACACTAGATTCATGTTATGTTCAGGGTTATTTGACAGAAATTCTAAAATTAAAAATGACAATGTATAAATTAAAAGTCTCTGGGCCCGGTGCAGTGGCTCACTCCTGTAATCCCAGCATTTTGGGAGGTTGAGGCAGGCAGATCACCTGAGGTCAGGAGTTCAAGACCAGCCTGGCCAACATGGCGAAACCCTGTTTCTACTAAAAATACAAAAATTAGCAGGCATGGTGGTAGGTGTTGGTAAGCCCAGCTACTTGGGAGTCTGAGGCAGAATTGCTTGAACCTGGGAGGCGGAGGCTGTACTGATCGTGATTGTGCCACTGAACTCCAGCCTGGTTGACAGAGTGAGACTCCGTCAAAAAAAAAAAATCTCTGAAAATAATTGCTATTGTTTGTATCAACCTCATCAATTCAGGAGGATGTATATAGAGATGAACCATCATTGCATAGTAAGAAATTTGGCCCATCCAAACAAAGTTCTGGTCTAAGTCTTTGGGAGGTCCCAGTGATAGGATTATCTTTATTATTCAGGGTAGGTTCCTCAGACAATACCTGACAGTGTATGCTAAGAAGACAATCTCTAGTGAGACCCTGAAGTCTTGATATCAGCCAGATCTCCAGGGAGAGGCAGATGTTGGAAAGTGAGGACTACATGGGCAAAAAAGCAACCAACCATGCCAAATAATAGAGCCTCAATAAAATCTGGACACCGAAGCTAGGTGAGCTTCCCTGAATGGCAACACTATGTGTGTACTGTTGAACACTGTGGTCAGGAGTGGATAACACCTTCCATGACTCTACAAGAACAGGACACTGAAGAGCCTCAAGTTTGGACCACTCCTACCTAGACTCTGCTTTATGTGTCACTTCCTTTGGCTGGTTTTAATTTGTATTTCCTTTCTCTGTATAATAGCTTTCAGTAAGTTTTATATTTCTAGCCAGAACTAAGGGTAAACTTGGGAAACCCCTGATTTTGCAATGACCAAAACACTCAACCACAGTAGAAGCTCAAATCTTTGGTAAATGAAGGTAATTTATTTCTTCCTTGCTATTTTATTTTCTGGAGTGTATATGTAGTCAGTCCTGCCTTAAAGGAATTCTCTTTTAAAAAACAGTAAGACCAGTATGGGCTGGGTGTGGTGGCTCACACCTGTAATCCCAACATTTTGGGAGGCCCAGGCAGGCGCATCACTTGAGCTCGAGAGGTTGAGACCAACCTGGGCAACATGATGAAACCCATCTCTACAAAAAAAATACAAAAGTTAGCTGCTTGTGGTATCACGCACCTGTAGTCTCAGCTACTTGGGGGACTGTGGCTCCTGGGAGGATCACTCACACTCACGCTGTCAAAGCTGCAGTGGGCTAAGATTGTGACACTGCACTCCAGCGTAGGCAACAGGAGTAAGATCTTGTCTCAAAAAACAAAACAAAACAAAACAAAATAAAAAACCCCCGACCAGTATGATTACTAATGCTAGTCACTATCAGTCTCTTTTGAAAGGCATATTGGCCGGGTGCCATGGCTCACCCTTGTAATCCCAGCACTTTGGGAGGCTGAGGTGGGCAGATCACCTGAGATCAGGAGTTCGAGACCATTCTGGCCAACACGGTGAAACCCCATCTCTACTAAAAATACAAAAATTAGCCAAGCATGGTGGCACTGCCTGTAATCCCAGCTACTAGGGAGGATGAGTCAGGAGAACTGCTTGAACCCAGGGGACAGAGGTTGTAGTGAGCTAAGATTGCACCACTGCAGCCTGGGCGACAGAGTGAGATTCCATCTCAAAAAAAAAAGAAGGCAGTATTATCTATAAGATTCAGATTATAACATACTTTTGCATAGCACTGGGACTTGAGGATTGTGATATATTTCCAACAAAAGAAGTATTATAATATAAAAAAGATAATTAAATATTTTAAGTTAGTGCTTTTCATGAGAGGTCACCAAAGAAAAATGTACATTTTTGAAAGGCTGGCATTTTAGTGATTTTTTTTTTTACAAAGTATTTTGTGTAAGGTTACTTCAGTAGTAAATACAGGACTAAAATCCTGTGTATTATCACGATTGATCGTCATGCATTCAATTGACGGTCACAACTGAAGCAATTACATTCAAATTATGAAGAATAATTACTTAACCTTGAGGCTAGCCTAAAGATATTTAAAACAAAAAACCTGTTAGGCTGTTACTAACATATAGAAAGATAAATTCTAACTAGTTTAAATAAACCCGGTCTTTCTTTTTTTGTTGTTTGGCTTTTTGTTTTGTTTGTTTTTTTGAGACACAGTCTTACTGTCACTCAGGCTGGAATGCAGTAGTATCATCATGGTTTACTGCAGCCTCAACTGGCTGGGCTCAAGCTATCCTCCTGCCTCAGCCTCCTGAGTAGCTGGGCCCACAGGTGCATGCCAATACACCCAGATAATTTTTGTAGAAACAAGGTCTCCATATGTTGCCCAGGCTGGCCTCAAACTCATGGGCTCAAGCAATTCTTCTGCCTTGGCTTCCCAAAGTGTTGGGATTACAGGAATGAGCCACTGGACCTGGCCAACCCAGTCTTTCATGCTGAGTATAGGCTAGAGAAAAGGAAGAAAGATCACATATGATAGTGATAGAGGTACTACAGAGCAAGAGAAAAAAATCAGCAGTTCATTTTTGATATATATAGAGAGAAGACTAATTAATAGGTTAGGTCATAGACAAAGGTAAATAGGAAAATAAGGACATATAGAAAAATATTTGTATAGTTCTTTATGAAAATAATCTATTCCAATAAATCTGTTAAATAGGTAATAGCTGGATACCAAAAAATGACAAGAGAAATTTATTTAAAAAGCTGTTTAACAAAAGATCACTTTATACATTCCTTTGAATAATGTCCATAAAAAATTTAAATATACAAATTACATTCTCAAACCCAAAAGAACCTTTCTAAACAAAGGAAATACAGATATAGACAGTCAGGATCCAAATTATTTCTAAAAGTTTTTAAATTACAGTAAATTATATTTTGTAATAACAAATGAAACAACAAACTGACAGTTTTATACAATTGTTAAAGTTTCAAAAAGCCCAATGATGGAGCAATGGTACCACAATTAGTTAAGTAAGTACTGTTCACAAATCTTTATGCTTTTGTAATATAATTATTTTAATTGTTACTGAATTTAAAGAGCAAATGTTGAAACAACCAAAAAAATAGAAGTGTATTTATTTCTAAACATCCTAATTTTGCTCATATGTCCAAAGTTGTGAAGTACAGGAACACCCTCCAGAAGAATCAGGTATTTGGTAAAGCAAGGCACATAGGACCAGATTTTGATAAAAGTGCTTGTTTTCTGCTCCTGTAACTACTTTAAATACCTGGAGATTCTTAAGATGACTTTCAATATAGCATAAATAACTTTTATAAGCCTTTTTTATGTAAAGCATACACCCATAGTAGTTAAATATTATAATAGTGAATGTGTAAATTACATGAGTGATGCTAAACCCTTAAGAAAAAAACCTACCTCAGTTTAATGACTATACAATGACATTTTAAAAGTTCAATAATTTGATATGTAAGGATAATCAGTATTACAGTAACTAATTGTAGAGAACACAATTAGTTTCCTTTCAGATTATATCTCCTTAGAATCTAAATATCAAACTCCCTTTCCTTCTATGAAATTATGTGACATTCAGTATAAATTGATGTAAACATTTAAGTTTTGCATCTCTAAATTATATAATCTACCATAAAAGCAGCCTGCCTACATTTCTAAAATCACTTATTGAAGAATTGATAATATACTATTACTGTGTCAAAACATCCATCGGTTACATTTCAAACTTTTCTTCCCAAATACAATATTCTTAATTTTTTTTTTTTTTTCCTGAGATGGAGTCTCGCTCTGTTGCCCAGGCTGGAGTGCAGTGGTGTGATTTCAGCTCACTGCAACCTCCACCTCCCAAGATCAAGTGATTCTCCTGCCTCAGCCTCCTGAGTAGCTGGGATTACAGGTGCACGCTACCATGCCCAGCTAATTTTTATATTTTTTAGTAGAGATGGGGTTTCTTCACGTTGGTCAGGCTGGTCTCGAACTTGTGACCTTGTGATCTGCCCACCTCAGCCTTCCAAAGTGCTGGGATTACGGGCATGAGCCACTGTGCCCAGCCCATATTCTTAATTTTTAAAAGAACTATCAATTGGCACTCTTCTACCATGAGTTAGCACATTTTCACATTGAACAAAGTAGTTGTGTGATAACAAATTAAAAGTATAGGAATTTAAATAATGAAGGAGTCATCATTATAAAAGCTTGATACAGTAAGGCCTGTGGAGGTCATCAAAATACACATCACACACACGAGGAAATGGCATTATCTGTATATGTGATATAATCCTAGGACACAGGTCCACCTTCTCATTTATGATTACTTTTTTGTGAATTAAAAATTATGAATGACATAGCCCAATCTCTAATAAACATTTTCAAACACACTAGAAAAGCAAAATATAAATTATGCCTGTCTAATAAAATTGTGCTTTGAAAATATACTTGACTGCTTTGTCCGTTTTTACAACTCTTGTTTACATTTTTATAACTTTTGTTAGGAATCTTGAAAATTGTGTTTAGATACCTAAAAACGTGTTACTACTGTAACTAACATCTAATATCCAAAAATTTACCTGTATAATTTTTTAAATTATTAAAATAGAAACAGACTAACCCTGACCAATTAAATGTGAATACACACTGTATTAATACATAAGTACTCAACCAATACTTCGATGTGCGCTAAACATGAATCATTATATTTAGTCTTAAATTCTGTGCATATACAGAACTTAGATTTTACTTAGCAGGAGGTAATAATGTAAGTCTGAATATTATGGCAATCTAAAACTACCATGTTCAAAATGTGGTGAACTTATTAAACAAATACTCTAAAGGCTGGTTAATGAAAATCATGTTGGGCATCCAGAAAGTTTGCTTGGTACCAATTTGGAATCACCACCAAATTGATTTTAAAGATTTTGTAATTTTAAATGCTTTTAAACTTTGGATGGAACTGATGAGACCTGCAATCTGTAGACTATGACTACAAAAACAAGGTAACACTGCCAGTTCATGTTAGGCAAGTGTACCCAACAGTTTGTAACATGGTATTTTTGAGCCAAATTCATTTTAATAAAATCCATGAGAGCTATATAAAAATACTTATTTTTTACAGTTTTTATATATATTAGAACAGACTTTAAAAATATATACAGTATGGGCTGGACACAGTGGCTCACACCTGTAATCCCAGCACTTCGGAAGGCTGAGGCAGGCGGATCACTTGAGGTCAGGGATTCGAGACCAGCTTGGCCAAGATGGTGAAACCCCATCTCTACTAAAAACAAAAAAAATTTCCTGGTCATGGTGGGGCAAGCCAGTAGTCTCAGCTACTTGGGAGGCTGAGGCTGGAGAATTTCTTGAACCCGGGAGGTAGAGGTTGCAGTGAGCCAAGATTACGTCACTGCACTCCAGCCTGGGTGACAGAACAAGACTCCATCTCAAAAAACAAAACAAAACAAAAAATATATATATACAGACACATACATACACACACACACACACACACACACAGTATGAATGAAATGAAAAAAGTAAAATACTTCCTATACTTAGTAATTCTGTCGACAGTCAATAATTAAACCCATATTCAAATTATAGAATTTTTGCCCATCAAATCACTTTACCATTTCTACCATATTCTCTCTCCCTTGAACCAATGTATTAAGTAACTCATGTAATCTGCATCTTCAGCTCCAGTGTTAATTAAAAAGGAAAAAAAAAAACCACTATTTTAAAGCAAAATGGTGGCTCCTTCTCAGCAGCTTTTATGGGAACACAGAAAGGGAATTAAAATTTGGCTACCTCTCCCAGTCATGTGATGAGAGTATTCCTGGGAACATTAGGTTTATGAGAGACCTAAAAAGCTCTTCTGAGTAGCCTCAAATTTAAAATTATAGTGCTGTTTAAAATAATGTAATATGGCAATCTGGAATGTCTCCAAGAAAAGTCATTTGGTCTCAGTCTCTGACATCTGTACTATTATATTTGTTTGAGTGTTGTTTTTGTCAATAGTTGTAGATTAAAGAAGTTTTTACAGATCAGTGAGTAAAAGGTTCATTTAATAACTTTCTAACTGTATATAATATATGCTTGATAGTTCAAAATTCTCCTAATGTAAATATTATACAATAATTATTTTAAATTATTAAATCCTTTTAAATTACATTTTGAAAATTTAATGGTAATTACACACAAATTTTAATTTAAAATAATATTAGGGATTTATCTGATTTACAGAAATAAAATGCAGTTAAGAGATTAAGGGCTAACCTCCATTACTATAAAACTCACTGGCTACTATTTAGCACGGGAGCAACTGGATTGCTTTCAGCAGTATTGAAGCACTAAAATAACTTAAAATTCATATGGAGAAATAGTGTGTATCTCTCTACATTAAATTTAGATATAATATTTATTCTCTGACAAATCATACCCAGAATAGTACTTTATTAATATTTAGGTAACTGAACAAAAACCATTTAGCAATCCTTCATTTAGTAATCTTTTGTATAAATATAAAAATCTCTGATAAGTGAAATGTTTTTTCAAATTATACTTCTATTTTTTCACAGCTTTATAGGTAATTATAATTTTCAAACTTTGAATATTTCATGTGATTTGATATAGCTGTACAGAAAGAGTATGATAAAAACATTTAATAAGATTAAATCTAATTTGCAAAAATTGATATTTGACATTTGTTGTGTGCTCTTGCAAAGAGTGCATAGAACATTTCTGCAGCAATCAAAAAAGGTAAAATCTTTTTAAACTCAGATTTCAAGTTTCCTCTAATATTCCTTCTAATTCTAATCCCTGGAAATACTCTCAAGTTTTGATTTCTAGATGCAATGTGTTTTGTTACATATACACATATTTTATCCTTAAACTTTGATATTTTTAACCATTTAAACAATATGATCGGATTCAGCATGATGATATCTTCACAGACTCTGTAGCAGTCCTCTGTGCAAGATTAATGTCGAGATTCCTAGTGCACCATCGTGAAAAACCAGTTAAAGATAGTATACAACTAAGCTTTAGTGGGATTTCCTGCAGGTTTGGGATCATAACCATATAAGAAAGTAGCTGTTATTACAAGGATGGCTCCAAGGAAAAAGACACTGAATAAGACGAAGACAAAATAAAAAAGAGAAAATCAGATTAAAAGCAAAACAAATTCCTTCTATTTCCTTACTATAAAAACAATTATAATTTGGGGCAAAATGTTCCAGTAACATGGCTAAAAACTCTTGAGTACTTACTACATTCCAGGTATCTGGCTAAGTGCTTTATATGCATTGTTTCATTGAATTCTCACAACTCTATGAAGATGTACTAGTATTATCTTCATTTTTTACATATGAAGAAACAGTTTTAAAGAATTTAACTTGTCTAAAATCCCATAACTTCAAGAGGAAGTTTCATCTTAATAGAGATTTTAAGTTTTACCTTAATAGAGATTTTTGTATGCAACACATTCAATAACAAAAGGTCTTAATTCTTTAGTTGAACATATGAAAGGAAAATTTTTATGTTAAACCAAGGTAAAGTTTAGTTTAAAATCCACGATAATGGGCAAAACTCAGAACCAATTTTTATAGGATGCTTTACAAAAGGAAATTTCATTAAATACAGGGAATTCTTGGTTTCCTCTTTATCCTATATACCTATAGATATAGTCTACCTTACAATAAATTGGAAATGAATTTAGACTGGATGTGTAAACCAGACTACAAATATTAATTTTTTTTTTTTTTTTTGGAGACAAATATCACTCTTGTTCCCCAGGCTGGAGTGCAATGGCGTGATCTTGGCTCGCTGCAACCTTTGCATCCTGGGATCAAGAGAGTCTCCTGTCTCAGCCTCTTGAGTAGCTGAGATTACAGGCATGTGCCACCACACACAGCTAATTTTGTATTTTTAGTAGAGACGGGGTTTCACCATGTTGGTCAGGCTGGTCTCGAACTCCTGACCTCAGGTGATCCTCTTGCATTGGCCCCCAAAAGTGCTAGGATTACAAGCGTGAGCTACCACACCCGGGCATGCATGCATTCATTTATTTAAAGACAGGGTCTCACTCTGTTGTCCAAGCTCTGGAATGCAGTGCTGCTATCATGGCTCATTGCAGCCTCCACCTCCTGGTTCAAGCAATCCTCCCAACTCAGTCTCCTAAGTAGCTGGGACTACAGGTGCAAACCACCCCACCTGGCTAATTTTTCTATTTTTTTGTAGAGCCAAGGTCTTACTTTGTTGCCCAGGCTGATCTTGAACTCCTGGGCTCAAGTGATCTGCCTCAGACTCCCAATGTGCTGGGATTATAGGCATGAGACACTGTGCCCAACCTGAATCTTAACTTTATTATTTTTTTGAGACGGAGTCTCACTCTATTGCCCAGGCTGGAGTGCAGTGATGTGATCTCAGTTCACTGCAAACTCCACCTCCCAGGTTCAAGCAATTCTCCTGCCTCAGCCTCCGAGTACCTGGGATTACAGGTGTGTGCCACCACACCTGGCTAATTTTTTGTATTTTTAGTAGAGATGGGGTTTTACCATGTTGGCCAGGCTGTTCTCGAACTCCTGACCTAAAGTGATCTGCCCGCCTCGGCCTTCCAAAGTGGAATCTTAACTTTTAATGTGTACATTTTAAAAATGCTATTATAGAGACATAAGTTTTGCTTTTGAAATTTCTATTAATAGTTCAAAGCTATGCTCCTGTTTTTTTTAATTGTCTATAAATGAAAAATAATTACTAATTATTACTAAAAGACCCTTCATAATAAGGTCCCCACAAACTCATCCTCCCACTTCATGCCACCCAGTCTATAATTCAGCCACTCCACTCAGGGAACACAGCATATCCTTTCACGACAGTGTCTTTAGAGATACTATTCCCTCTGTCCACAGTTTCCTTGCCTCTAAAGAAAAATAATTCAGGTCTAGGAGGCACAACTGCCCTATCATAACACTTACCACACTTTCATTAAATGATACATTATTCACAGGTCCACTCCCCTGCTCAACCATGTGCTCTTCATTCACTGTGGTGCCCACAGGGCCTAGCATATATAGGGAGCTCAGTAATTATCTGTTATGGTTAATAACTAGATTTGACTTGATGCAAATGGTTAACTTTTCAAAAGACCTGAATGCAGCTATACATATAAGATTATTAGGATAACATAAAACATCCTATAATGTATCTTGAAGAAACTGCTACCACATTAATATTTGGTAATTATTAATTACTAGATACTGTCTTCATCAGTCATTATGAACTATTCTTAGCTTTCTGGAAGTCCGCAATAGCATGGACTGAAAGTTCATGCTCAACTGAAAGATTATATGATCTACCTTCGTATCCACTGCAGGATTCCTTTCTATGTCTTTAGCAGGATGTACTTGAATACTGACCTGTTTTTTAAGCCAGCAATTTTTAGATGGTTCTGAGAGAGAAAACTGTCTTAGGAAAAAATTATCAGAATGTAATGATTATTTCAAGGATTTGAGCATCCTCTAACAGATTATGTATACTTCTATTGTTGCATTGATCATACTGTTGTAATTTATTCATGTCTGTCTCTCCAATCACTGTGATGACCTTGAAGACAAGAAATGGTGTCTCATTCATGCACTCCTTTTCCAGGAGCTAGCACAGTGGCCAGCAGGCACATAGTAGACACTTAATAAACTTTTGATAAAAGAATAAGCGACCCTAAATGAAAGAATGGTAATACCAATAAGCAAAATAACAAGCACAAGAAAAATAATTTAGAAAAGTGGGTACTAGTGATATTATATCAGCAGAGATATCTAACAGTCAATAGAATAAAGGGATCTAGAGTTTACATGAAATTTAAACTTATCTTCATAGAGAAGACAGATACGACATGGCAGTGGATGAGATGGCCAAGAGAGTAAGCAAGGATTGACAAGTTACCAAAGGGACAATCAGAAAGGTAAGTACAGGCATACCCTTTCAGAGAAGCCAAAACAAACAAACAAAAACCCTGCTTCAGGAGGTGGAATGGGGCCAATGGCAAATATTACATTTAGAATAGAATTGAATGAAGATTGAGAAAATGTCATTAGATTTATTATTGAAAATGGGTTCTTCACAAAAGTAAGATGCATAAAGATAGAGTACTTAGTTATCTATTTTAGGAAAAATCCAACTTCCCCATCTGGCTTGGTGTCCTGAACATATTCTCAAAACATTCATTCATTCATTCATTCAATAATAGCAGTATCATTGTCTTTTCTCTTACTGTCTTCAACCCAACAAACCTTATATATTTCCTCAGAAACATAATTCACAGGCAGGCGTATATCTCACTGCCAAACTACTACTCTTTGTCCCTCTGTTGGTTTACTTGTTCATTTATTTGTTTTTTCCCTGCATAATTCAAAGATTTAATTACCTCAGCTTTACATATGGCTCAGTTTTTTTTAAAAGGTATGCTTTTTAAAGTAAAATCTAAAAATCTGAAAGTTCCAAACATTCTCAAGTTATATTAAACCATATACTTTCCTCATCTAATGAACAGGAATAAGATTCAGATTAAGAAATTAAGACATAAGTGTTCACTGTTAGTCTAGTCTCACTAGCTAAGTGTTTCATTTCCATACCAAGCTGAAAACAGAAATGCTTTAAATTTTGTCTCATAAGAACTACAGATGTCAACATGTATGTTCCACATCTATTGTCTAGATTGCTAAAAAAGAATTAAAACCATAAATGTTCAATATAAAAATATAAAAAGCATATTATATTTTTCTAGTGCCAAATTCCAACCATAATCCTATTTTACTCTCAAAAACAAAAATGAGTTAGGCACACTGAGTCAGGCACACTGAGTTAGGCACTGTGCCACTGAGTCAGGCACAGTGGCATATGCCTATAATCCCAGCACTCTGAGAGGCAGAGGTAGGAGGATTGCTTGAGGTAAGGAGTTCAAGATCAGCCTGGGCAACACAACACATCTACAGTCCCAGCTATCCAGGAGGCTGAGGCAGGAGGATTGCTTGAGCCCAGGAACCTGAAGCTGCAATGAGCTATGATCATGCCACTGCACTGCAGACTGGGTGACAAACTGAGATCCTATCTCAAAAATATAAATATATAAATAATAAACAAACAAATAAATAAATAAATACATAAAAGATCCTTGGGAGATTCCAAAGATTAGAGATTGAGAAAATCAGGAGAGGAGTAAAGTTGGAGGAAAACCAAGAGTGGTGTCCTGGAAGCAATTAATATATAATCCCATTAGTCTGAGATTACAAACAAAAAATTAGAATTTTCAATACCATCTGTAATGGATATTAATTACACTCAATTTTTCCTGTTGCTATCTTCTCCCTTAACATCCACAAAACTACAGAGTACCGGGTCTCCTGCCTCGCCTATAAGTCCTTCCGTAATTCCTTTCCAAACTGCTCTTCCTGCCACCACCTAATTGAGTTTCCTCATGAGCCACATTCTCTATATAAACTATCTTCTTTTTGAGACGGAGTTTCGCTCTTGTTACCCAGGCTGGAGTGCAATGGCATGATCTCGGCTCACCGCAACCTCCGCCTCCTGGGTTCAGGCAATTCTCCTGCCCCAGCCTCCTGAGTAGCTGGGATTAGAGGCACGCACCACCATGCCCAGCTAATTTTTGGGTTCAGGCAATTCTCCTCCCTCAGCCTCCTGAGTAGCTGGGATTACAGGCACGCGCCACCGTGCCCAGCTAATTTTTTGTAATTTTTAGTAGAGACGGGGTTTCACCTTGTTGACCAGGATGGTCTCGATCTCTTGACCTCGTGATCCACCCGCCTCGGCCTCCCAAAGTGCTGGGATTACAGGCTTGAGCCACTGTACCCGACCTAAACTATCTTCTTCAAGGAAGTCATACACTCACCTGACTTTAGTTATCTAAATTCTGTATTTTAAAAATGTCATTCATTATATGACTTATTTTTATGACTTTATATGACATTAATTTTTTTATATGACTTTTTACTTTGTAGGGAAAATATTCAGATTTATTTATTTGGAAAATTCTGGCCAGACAAATTTGTATAAAAAACTTTTCTGGAGACTTTCTTTCATGAATTTAATTTGAAATATTTTTTAAAACATAGTTAAATAAATTTTTTAAATTATATTTCAATGATTCTTCAAATTTACCAGATCACCTTACAAATAATTCTAATATTTCTATATACTTTTTGGGATTTAAAGAAATAGAGAAGAATATTTTACCTGGTTGGCACAAAATCTTGAAGCCAAAAATAGGAGATCAGTGTTGATAATATTATAGATAATGAGGTTGCAAATCCTTTTAAAATATTATCTGCATACTTAATAACAGCAGCTATTACAAGGCCTCCAAGTGCCTGCAGAAGTTTTAAAAAAATATTTTTTAAACACATATATAAAACTGTATTTCCAAACAATTTCATTATTTAATAAAGCTTTAGGCTTTTGTCCTATAAATTCAATCTCATTATAGTAAGGGATTTATTTTAAACATCTCTTATAACCAATAGACTTCTAGGTTTTGTTCAATAGCCCTCTTATTTCAAAAGGCATTTAATAAAAGTATCTACCAGGACAATCTGCAGTTTGTTATAATGGAGTTTGACCATATTACAAATAAAATGTCTATCGTTATCTAATTTAGTAATTAAACATCACTTGTTTGACAAATATGGGAGGACTGGTCACTCTAAATAGTGAAATATTTTTACTTTTGAGTAAAATTAGTAATTGGAGTCATGTCACAGCCTTTCAATGCCCTCTTAACTTGGCCTTTTTCCTATAGTTTCTCCCCATTCAAATCCACCTCTCACTGCTGTCAGATTAAGCTTCCTAAAGCACAGTGTTAATTTTGCTTTTTAATACTGTAGAAAGAACTTTCTACCTAGTCCCTGTGAAATTCCCCATTTCAGCTACTTTAATAATGAGGTTTTACTATACTACACACTTTTGCTTTCTGCCAAAGACTACTTATCAATTTCCAAATCTGGGTTACCTATTGTAACAACTTTCTTTCTTCCTTTCTTTCTTTCTTTTTTGAGAGAGAGTCTCACTCTCTTGCCAGGCTGGAGTGCAGTGGTGTGATCTCGGCTCATTGCAACCTCCGTCTCCTAGGTTCAAGCAAATCTCCTACCTCAGTCTCCTGAGTAGCTGACACTACAGGCACACACCACGATGGCCAACTAATTTTTTTGTACTTTTAGTAGGGACAGCGTTTCACAGTGTTGGCCAGTATGGTCTCGATCTCTTGACCTCGTGATCCGCCTGCCTTGGCCTCCCAAAGTGGTGGGATTACAGTCCCCAGCCCTGTAACAACTTTCAGAACACCTCTTCTATGATGGAAGCTTTATTTAGAGAAAGTCATAAATTATGCCAATTGAGCTTATTAATGTTGTCATTCATCTATTTACTCCCTGTTGAATCCCTCATGCCAGTTATACCAAACTTTATTTTTCTCGTGTCTTCAGCCCCTTTTTAAGAGAAGGGGCTTCCTCTCTTTGCTGGAATAAGATATATCATGCATAAACTCTCTTGACTCACCCTGACTCCACTTCAAATTTTCTCTTAAATTTTGTTTTCAAATTTTCCTTTATCCTTGTCTCCTTTTCTGTTATCTTAAAAATGGAAGTATCCTACCTACTTTTAAAACACAATTATCTTTTGCCATCTTCACCTTCCTTTCTGGAACCTTGCTTCTTAGGCTTCAAATATCTCTAGAAGAACAGGAGGCTCTGAGGACAGTGACTCGTATCTTCATTTTTATATCCTCTAGAATTCTCAGTATGTATTTTTTGAAGATGTAATTAATTACTCAACCCTTGAACAATTTCAAGCTATATATAAACTAAATTTGACAGAAGTTTTTCAAAATGTAACTACAATACGAGGCTATGAACTGTCACAGAATTAAATATCTAGATCTGCTTCTTAAGTCTTAATGGCTGATCACAGACTTCCTGTACAATGATAAGACTTGTAGAAAAATCAAATTATATTTGCCTTTAGCTTCAACTCTTTTATTCTTAAACTTGTATTTTCATTGTTACATTTAAATAGCACATAGTTCGTTAAAGACCCCTTTTCAAAATAAGTTTTCATTACTGCATTAAGATCACTTCTATTTTAACTTCCTTGAATAAACTAGACACAATGAGATCACTAACAGGAAAAACCTTTTTTCTTCACATCAGTATATCAGGGGCTACTTTGATTCTTTATATTAAAAGAGTTTATTAGCATTAAATCTAAGACTTTAAATGCTTTACCTGAAGAACAACTACTATCCAGGTCAGTTGATTATATCCCTGAAAAAATCCATTCTTTGATACCAGTTCTCCATCATAAATGTATACACCCATTAATCCAAATATACTTCCAAAGAAACCTAAAAAAAAAAGTAAAGACTACATGATATATCATTTAGTTTGTCTGAAGAGATATATTTTTCCACTGACATTTCAAATAATTTTATACTTAACTTTTTCTTTTTGATAAAACTAGATCACTTTTTAAAATTTTTACTTGGTTTTGTAAACTTAACAAAAGTATATTTAGTACTATATTGACTACAAGACAAAGATATATAAATAAAAAAAGACAAAGACATAGAATATAAAAAAACAGACATTACCAACTTTGGAGCACTAAAATAATACAATGCACAAATTAGATGATGACATGGCTAGCCCATTCAAATATTTTATGTGTAAATTGCTCACATTTGGGATATGTCATTGTTCTTCTATCTTCCTCTTGCTAGTTCTAGATTTTCAAATATTCATACATACAAATATAAAAGCTCAGGCTGGGTGCAGGAGCTCACATCTGTAATCCCAGCACTTTGGGAGGCAGAGGTGGGCAAATCACCTGAGGGTAGGAGTTCAAAACCGGACTGACCAACATGAAGAAACCCCATCTCTACTAAAAATACAAAATTAGCCGGGCATGGTGGTGCATCCCTGTAATTCCAGCTACTCGGGAGGCTGAGGCAGGAGAATCACTTGAACCTGGGAGGCAGAGATTGCGGTGAACCGAGATTGCACCACTGCACTCCAGCCTGGGCAAGAGAACGAGACTCCATCTCAAAAAAAAAAGAAAAATCTCAGGCACAGGGTACAGTATTTTTCAGTATTTTTCCTTATTAAGAAGTTTCAAGGCTGGGTACAGTGGCTCAAGCCTGTAATCCCAGCACTTTGGGAGGTCGAGGTGGGCGAATCACCTGAGGTCGGGTGTTCGAGACCAGCCTGACCAACATGGAGAAACCCTGTCTCTACCAAAAATGCAAAAAAACTTGCAGGGCATGATAGTGCATGCCTGGAATCCTAGCTACTTGTGAGGCTGAGGGAGGAGAATTGCTTGAACCCAGGAGGCAGAGGCTGCAGTGAGCCAAAATCACACCATTGCATCTCAGCCTGGGCAACAAGAGCAAAACTCCATCTCAAAAAAAAACAAAAAAAATTTTTGGGCACGATGGCTCATGCCCGAAATCCCAGCACTTTGGGAGGCCAAAGCAGGAGACTAACTTGAACCCAGGAGTTTAAGACCAGCCCAGGCAGCATAGCAAGACTCCATCTCTACAAAAAAATTTTTTAATTAGCTGGGTGTAGTGGTACATGCCTGTAGTCCTAGTTACTCATGTGGCTGAGGTGGGACAATCACTTGAGCCCAGAAGTTTGAGGTTACAGTGAGCTATGATTCTACCACTGCATTCCAGTCTAAGCAACCCAGTGAGATAATCTCTAAATAAATAAATAAATAAAGTTTTGTTTTGATAGTATAATAATAACTAATATCCAACAAAATCACGGCTAAGAAATAGTCATAGAAAACATTAGATTCTGTGTTACTAAAGTTTCACTGTTAGAGAAAGTCAACTTGATGAGAGCAGAAACTGTCTTGTTCATGCTGAATCTCATCTCAAAAACATAGTCTATCATATGACTATCGGAACTAAGAGATTCCCAGAAGCATTGCTAGGCTATAAAGAAAGAAATGCATGCTTTAGGACCACTTTTTCTGCGTAGCCTTTGAAATATATGCAGTTAAAGAGTACAAGGGTAAAACAATTTTTATAAATAAAGTCATAATTAATCAAAGTATTCCACAGTAGAAAGAAGTGAAAAGGATGTGAAATGCTCTAAAATTCCACTTAAGCCAGCTTTATCCTTTGTTTTTGAGACAAGATCTCGCTTTGTCGCCCAGGCTGGAGTACAGTGGCACAACTGCCTCCCGGGTTCAAGTGATTTTCCCACCTCCGCCTCCCAAGTAGCTGGGAGTACAGGTGTACGCCACCACACCTGGCTAATTTTTGTATTTTTAGTGAGACAGGGTTTCGCCACGTTGGCCAAGCTGGTCTTGAACACACACATATATAAAATACATAAAGACACATATATAAAATGCCACCAGATGAGTTTTATATATAACATATGTGTGTGTGGATACACACACACACACACACATTTTTTTTTTTTTTTGAGAAAGGTTTTATTTACAGTGCCACTCAGGCTGGAGTGCAGAGGCACAATCACAACTCACTGCAGCCTTGACTTTTTGGGACTCAAAAAGTGATCCTCCCACTTCAGCCTCCAAGTAGTTTGGACCACATGCACATGCTACCATGCCTGGCTAATTTTTGTGGGGTTTTTTGTACAGACAGAGTTTTGTGGTGTTGCTCAGGCTGGTCTCCCCAATTCCTAAGCTCAAGCAATCTACCTCCCTTGGCCTCTCAAAGTGCTAGGATTACAGGTGTGAGCCACTGCATCCCGCCTTGTATACATACATATTTGAAGAAACAGGGTCTCACTATGTTGCCTGGATCTCAAACTCCTGGTTCTCAAGCAATCCGCCCTTCTCAGCCTCCCAAGTATCTGGGATTAGCACAAGCTACCACATCTGGCTAAAGTTTTTTAATTTAAAAAAGTAAGACTTTGTAATTACTAAAAAAGTATACATTATAGAAGGATACATATATGTCATACATGTCAGTATGAACAAATCTGCATTCTAACAGTTGCATAATATTCTTCTATGGATTACAATAGAAAATATATAACTGCATGTAACAGGAATTATTCTAAGTGCTTCATGTGTGTTTTTGTTTTGTTTTTTTTGAGATGGAGTTTTGCTCTTGTTACCCAGGCTGGAGTGCAATGGCACGATCTCGGCTCACTGCAACCTCCACCTCCTGGGTTCAGGCAATTCTCCTGCCTCAGCCTCCTGAGTAGCTGGGATTACAGGCACGTGCCCCCGTGCCCAGCTAATTTTTTGTATTTTTAGTAGACATGGGGTTTCACCATGTTGACAGGATGGTCTCGATCTCTTGACCTCATGATCCACCCGCCTCGGCCTCCCAAAGTGCTGGGATTACAGGTGTGAGCCACCGCGCCCGGCCGCTTCATGTATGTTAACTCACATACAAACTAGGAGGTAGATACTTTTATGTTCGTTTTATAGATGAAAAAACTGAAGCACAGAGCGGTTGCATAACTTGCTCACACTACTGGTAAATCATGGGTTTAGGAGAGAATATGATCTTAATCACTATACTATATATTATATCAATAATTTATTTAACCAGTCCTCTAAATGTTTCCTATTTTTTTGGATTGTAACCAATAGCTGAAACAATAATCCTGACATCTATCTTTGTGCTCTTATAGGATAGATCCTTATCCAGACTTGGAATTCTTACATTACAGCCTACATGTGTTTAAAATTTTGGCAAATATTCCCAGATTGAAATCCAACACGGTCATATCAATCTATATTCCTTGCAACAACAGGTAATAGATTGACTGCTTCTCTATTCTCTGGCTAATGTTAGATCTTACCATGTTAATCTTTGACAATTTGATGTTTGAAAAATGCTATTACACTGTTTTAATTTGTTCTTGTAATTTTGAATTGTGGTAGTCAATTACTTAAGTATTCTTTCAAAAACATTAAGTCTGTTACTATTTTTTTTCTATGAGCGTTGGAGCTTATGTGGTCACCAAAGAATAAGAAATCCATGAGGCACATTAGAATAACGATTTCTGCTTTGTCTTCCTTTTTTTTTTTACAATTCAAGAAAAGTTTAGGCAACTCACACAAACCTTGACTATTTCTTTTTTACTTATATTGCATATTTATAAAAATAATTAACATTTATTAGTGTTTACTATACATAAGATACTTTATTCTTTTTTCTTTTAAGATGAAGTTTCGCTCTTGTTGCCCAGGCTAGAGGGCAGTGGTGCAATCACAGCTCACTGCAACTTCCGCCTCCCAGGTTCAAGCAATTCTCCTGCCTCAGCCTCCCCAGTATCTGGAATTACAGGTGCCCACCACCACACCCAGCTAATTTTTTTGTATTTTTAGTAGAGATGGGTTTTCATCATGTTGGCCAGGCTGGTCTCAAACTCCTGACCTCAAGTGATATGCCAGCCTTAGCCTCCCAAAGTGTTGGGATTACAGGCGTGAGCCACAGCGCCAGACCTAGACACTTTATTCTAAACACTTTACATGTATTAATCTCATTTAATCCTCATAGTAACACGAGACAGGTCGTATAATTTAGTCCATTTTGCAGATGAGGAAAGTGAAGCAGAGAAACCTAAGTAACTTCCCTATGGTCACACAGGGGGTAAGTGATGAAATCAGGATTTGACTGGTCTAACTTCAAAGCCAAGTATTCTTAACCCCTCTGCGATAGACACATTACTTCAGAAATGGTGAATTAAATTACTTAATGCCTTTACAGCCTGTGAGCTTACCATCTAGACAAACTAAAGAAGCTAATAAAATTTTGCTTTAAAAATATTTACCTTCAATATTTTCAAGAAAAAAAATGACACATTTCTACAAATTTTGCAGAGAAACTTAAAGAAATCCTATGTGATGAAATGAAGGTTCAATCTGTTATTACATTATTTGAAAACAGCTAGAAGGATGAATTTAATAAAATTTGGAAGATTTGACATAAAATATAGGCCATTAGAAGTACAGACAATTTAATGTGTAGGGCCTAGAGGGGCCTATATGACTGCTGATCAAGACAGATAAGGTACAACAGAGCCACACTACCTGGATTCAAATCCTGAGTCCATTACTTACCTGTAATGTGAGCTTAGACAAGTTATTTAACCTCTCTGCACTTTAGTTTCCTCAGGTATAAAATGGTACATGGACAGAAAAAAAAATAGTGGTTTCAAAGGTAAACCTCAAAGTCACAAGGACAAAAGCTTAAAATAGAATGTGCTGATTTGCAGATGAGTTGCTTTTCACATGGGCAGTTCTATATACCATCATCCAAAATGAATGTATGCTAGGAATACTAAATGCTGGAATCTTCATAGGGAGATTTAAATATTATAACACTAAAAGAAGTTTAAATATTTGTTCAAAGCCTTCAATATGAGATTTTTTTCTTTTAAACTATTTACCTTCAATAAGAAAAATGCTGCAGTACTTAAGAGCTAAAACAACATTTTAAAATCAAATGGCACAAAAATTCATCAGCTCAAACTTCCTTCATTTAATTATCTTAATCATCCTTTCCAGGAATAAAATATGTAAGTTATTTGCAAAAACTTCTGTGAAAGAAGTGGCAACCAAGGGTAAAGTTACTAAGGCTCCAAAAAGTAAAGACAGAAGCAGGTTACATATACCTTTATGTCACAGATGTAAGTTTTCCATATTCTTAAATAAAAGGCATTCATTTAAAATAAAATTTTTTAAAACACAAAAACATTGCCAGATATTTGGATCAATAACAGATTTTATGCAAGGCTCATTTATTTAAAGATGTATAGAAATCCTTAAATATAACAAAATAATCACTTTTAAAATAATATTAGAAAACATTCAAAACTTACCAAGCTGAATGTTTCTTATCCACACCGATTGTTTTGTTTCTTTTAAGATTTTCTCAAAGTAAACTCCAGCAAAGCCACTTGAAAAACATGCTGTGAGAACTGCCATAAGCCCTACAAATTGAGAGCCAGCTGAAAGTTCCTTAGAATCAAGTTGAGAATCTGAGGGCCACTAAATAAGAAGAAAAATAAAATTGAAGTTTAATTGCTATAATATTTTACATAAACATATTGAGAGCCCACTCTTGGACCGTCACTTAAAAAATGCAACCAACATCATTTTGGGGACTGCAGAGGAGAGCTTTTGACATAAAACCTTACAATCATTTGGTTTTTTTCCTCACAGTGATATTACATTACAACTTATAATTTCAAAGAATACCTTAGAAATAATAAATATTTTACATTTCATATCTTACAGAGACCAATGTTACCTTGAGATAATTCCTTAAAGTTTAATTTATTAAAAAGCAACATCTCGGCCGAGCGCGGTGGCTCATGCCTATAATCCCAGCACTTTGGGAGGCCGAGGCGGGTGGATCACGAGGTCAGGAAATCGAGACCATCCTGGTCAACGAGGTGAAACCCCGTCTCTACTAAAAATACAAAAATTAGCTGGGCATGGTGGTGCGCGCCTGTAGTCCCAGCTACTTGGGAGGGTGAGGCAGGAGAATTGCTTGAACCCAGAAGGCGGAGCTTGCAGTGAGCCGAGATCGTGCCATTGCACTCCAGTCTGGGTAACAAGAGCGAAACTCCATCTCAAAATTAAAAAAAAAAAGCAACATCTTAAATATAGGTAAAAGAAAGAATGAGAATCTCACTCTTTCACTGCTGCCTCAGCAAAAGTAGAGATCAGCTGGAAAGTGGTATGCTAAATCAAGTATAATAAAGGGAATCTATTGGGAGGTGAACCCCAAACCCTGTCAGGAAAAGACAGTCTATCAGATAGTGAGGGAAAACTCTGAGTACAGGACTCTAGAAATGAAATGTGTTGAATGGTCCCAGATCACTGCACCAGGGATGGTACCCTATAACTTGGATGTTACTGACCCTTAAACTAATCAATTGATAACTTTTAACTACTACCAAATTTGCTTTTGCATCTATTTCTTCCCTCCTCAGTTTCATCTTCTACTAGCTAGACTTCTTTTTTTGAGACATAGTCTCACTCTGTCACCCAGCCTGGAGTGCACTGCAGCCTCAACCTCCCTGGGCTCAGGTGATCTACCTTAGCCTCCCCAGTAGTTGGCACTATAGGTGCAGACCACCCCACTCAGCTAATTTCTGTATTTTTTTGTAAAGACAGGGTTTCACCATGTTGCCCAGAATGGTCTCAAACTCGTGGGCTCAAGCAATATGCCTGCCTTGGCCTTCCAAAGTGTTAAGATTATGGGTGTGAGCCACAATGCCCAACCTAGCTGGACTTCTTAAAGCCATTTTTCCTTCTGCAACTGTACTTTTCATAGCTACTAAAGACTTTTCAATTAATGTGTTAACTAATTTTTAATAACAAAATTGTTCATTCTCTATTATTAGTAAGTTCATACTCACTCCTTACCTCTTGAAACTACCTACTCTTTTCCTGGGTTCTCTCCTCCAATCTTTATATTTATTCTAGTCCAAGAGCCTCTTTGTGATGATGGAAATGTTCTGTATCTTCACCCTCCAATAGGTTAATCACTACTTTTATGTGGCTACTGAGCACTTGAAATGTGGGTAGTGCGACCAAGGAGCTGAAATTTTAATTTTAACTAATTAAATTTAAATAGCTACATATGGCTTCTGGCTACCCTATTTGACAGTGTAGTTCTGCAGCATAGTTTATAGAAATCCCCTCTACCCTAGAGAGTTGATTCACAGAAGCACGGACATCTCTTTTGAGCTCAAGTCCAAGATTTCAGTTGCTGCTATCCAAAAACTTATCTCCTTAAAGCCAATGTGACTAAAAGGTACCCATTCCTCTTCAGAGCAAACATACCTTTTGATATCTTTACATTCTATTAAAAATGCCACCATTCAAACCTAGGTTTCTTAATCTCCTTACTCTCCATTCCCTATGATATTTATTGGTCTCACATACTGATTCTTCCCTTGTAACAACTTTCATCACTGTTGTGGGACATTCCAATCCCATTAACCTGCCAGTTTGGGTCCCTGTCATGCTTTCTAACTCCTCTCCATTCCTTCAGTCTTTCTCCCCTCCAATCTGCCCTGCAAGCCTGTTGGATTTCTCTGACATGCCTCTCTCCCTTCCAATTCTCCAGTTAGACCTTACAGCCAAAAGCAGTCAAGACTAAGCTCCTGTCTCAATACTGAAGACCATGTATAATGTAGGACCAATCTGTATTTTGTAATTTCATCTCTTACTATATCTTTGTGAATTCTTTGTTCTGACCAAAGAAGACTATTACCACTCCTTAACTTATCTTGTGCTCATCCACAGATCAATATCTGTTTTTTTTTTTTAAACATACCTTTTATGTAATGCTTTTTCTGGTATTTCAGACCTACTGAGACACAAACAGTGAAAACAGTTTTAAGGAGATTTGGTTCTGGCTCTGCCACTACTAGATTGGTATCATAAGCAATTTCATTAACCTCTCTGAGCTTCAGTAATTCTTTTGTAAGTTGGGGAGAATAATATCTACCTTAAACAGGTTTAACATAAGATAATACAGGGTAAGCACTGAGTGGGGTACCTGGCACATAAGTATTCAGCATGCAAATTTCATTATAATTATTACCTTTCAATGCCTAATTTAACTCCAATATCATCCCTGAAGCTTTCCCAGGAGTGATCTGTACTTACAGGATATAAAATCAATTGACAACTAATCATGTAAAAACAAATGTCATTGTTTTTCCTGATCTTAAACTGTGTTTCAGTCTTGCTAATTAGGCACTATAAATGGAAGGAGCAGTGAAACACAGCTGCTGCCTTCTAGGAACTTAAGTTGTAAGGGTAAACAGACATATAAATAAGCATTTAACTATAAGATAAATACACTGGAAAAAGATATGTATAAAGTATCAAGGTAATAGAGAAGAAGGCATAAATGTTATGCCTGTGATGTTAGGAAGGTATTCTGGTAGAGGCAGACTTTAAGACTCAGCTGAGTCTCAAAGGTAGGAGTTAGCCAGGCAAAGAGGCAAGCTGCTCAGTTGTAGCAATTCAGAGACTGAAGTATGTAGTAGCAGAAATGAGCCTGGAGCTATAGGTACATTTCAGAAGGTCTAGTGTGTCACACTAACCACTCTGAGCTTTATCCTATAGGTCTGTGTTCCTGAAGCCCCAATTATTTGCCTATCCATGGTTTTTTGTCAAACTCCTGTTCCACCTAAACTATTAATAACTTTTTAATATAAAATACCTTACTGTTTGAAACAATGTCTACTTTAGCTGACTCTAAGCAATATTTATGAAAATAAGAATTTGATATGCCACTTATACTTTTGTAATACTCATTTAAAATAAATATTAAATATATTAGGCCAGGCACACTGGCTCACACCTGTAATCCCAGCACTTTAGGAGGCTGAGGTGGGTGGATCACGAGGTCAGGATTCGACACTAGCCTGGCCAACATAGTGAAACCCCATCTCTACTAAAAATACAAAGAATTAGCCAGGTGTGGTGGCGGGCAACGGTAATCCCAGCTACTGGAAGGCTGAGGCAAGAAAATTGCTTGAACCCGAGAGGTGGAAGTTGCAGTGAGCTGAGATTGTGCCACTGCACTCCAGCCTGGACAACAGTGCAAGACTCCATCAAGAAAAGGAAAGGAAGGAAGGGGGACGGGAAGAGGGAAAGGAAAAAAAGAAAGGATGGGCGTGGTGGCTCATGCCTGTAATCCCAACACTTTGGGAGGCAGAGGCTGGTGGATCACGAGGTCAGGAGTTCGAGACCAGCCTGGCCAACATGGTGAAACTCTGTCTCTACTAAAAATACAAAAACTACCCAGGTGTGGTGGTGTGCACCTGTAATCCCAGCTATTCGGAAGGCTGAGGAGAATCACTTGAACCTGGGGATGGAGGTTGCAGTGGCCGAAATTGGACTACTGCACTTCAACCTATGACAGAGGGGCACTCCGTTTCAAAAAAAAAAAAAAATTTTATTCACAATATACATTGTCACACCGCAGGGAAAGTGATGGCATGAACTGAAGAATTATCACAATGTAAGTATTAATAAAACCTTCCTTCAGAACAAGTATCACTGAGGACTAATAATAATAATAATAAATAATAAGGCCAGGCACAGTGGCTCACACCTAACACTTTGGGAGGGTGAGGCAGCATGATCACTTTAGCCCAGAACTTTGAGACTAGCCTGGGAAACACAGTGAGACTCCGTCTCTATATAAATTTTTTTAAAAAGAAAAAAATAATAATAAAATTAACCTCCCTCCAAGAAGAGATGAAATCTCCAAAAATAAAGATATAACTTAGAAGAAATAACAAGCCTGCAAGCAAACCCAGTATTTACAGGGAGTCTCACAGAAGAGAGTGCTATGAAGAAAACCAATAAGGAATCATTAGAAAAATGAAAGAACCAGGAAAAAATGGTATCAGTGAAGCTGACAGAAAATAAAAAGGGAGTGGCTAATAATCTCAAATGCTACAGATAGCCAGCAAAAATCAACTTTCTTTACAATGCAGTGTCTTATTTCCCTAATTAGAATGTTCATTTCTGTAAGTAATATAATTTTATTTTGATTAATTCCTCTGTATTACCTACACTCCCAGTGTAGTATGTCACAAAAAGGAAGCCCTCAAAACATATAATAGTTGTGAGGAATAACATTTGCTGGCTTCAACAAGCAATAGAACCATATTCTCCACACAAAATAAATACGGTTTTGAAACTGTGATAAAGATAAAAAATATATACTTATCTTGAATAGTTACCTGTACAAAAGCAACTCCTGTCATCAAAATTACTAGGGAGAGCCACTGGTATACACCCAATTTTTTACTAAGCATAGACACAGAAAATAATGCTGTTGTAAGAATTTTCAACTGATATGTGACCTGAAAAAGAAAACAGTAATATTATTGATGTTTGTTTGTTTCTTAAGAGTACTATTAGAAATGTATTTTAAGCACTGTGGCACTATGCCTAGTGGTTGCACCTGGCTGGGAACTGGGGTCTAAAGCGTCAGTTAATGCTACCCTCAGGAATCTGATGTACCATGGAGCTTTGGACACTTTAGGCAATAATGCAAAATGAATTGAACCTTTTCATTGTAAATGAGGTTGCAACAGGCAAGCAAAGACAAAATTACCTCCACAGCCACTGCCACTCTTGCAGATACACAAGCATGCACTCTAGGGGCCTGGATATCAACCTGCCCTACCTGCCACAGAGAGCACCTGCACAGACCATCCAGCGTCTTTACTAAAAATACAAAAATTAGTGTGGTGGTATGCACCTGTAATCTCAGCTACTCAGGAGGCTGAGGCAGGATAATCGTTTGAACCTGGGAGGCAGAGGTTGCAGTGGGCTGAGATCACACCACTGCACTCTAGCCTGGGTGACAGTGCAGGATTCCGTCTCAAAAAAACAAACAAACAAATGCAAAGCCAACCATGGTAGAGTATGCTTGTGGTCTTAGTGCCTGGAAGGATGAGGCATGACAGGCTGAGCCCAGGAGTTTGAGACTGCAGTGCACCATATTGTGCCTGTGAACAGCCACTGCACTCCAGCCTGGGAAGCACATCAAGACATCTCTCTTTTAGAAAAAAAAAAAAAAAAAAAAAATCAAGAAATAAATTAAAATACATTTAAAATTTAAAAATAGATAAATCTTTTAAATAAAATGAAAGATAGGCTGGGCGCGGTGGCTCACACCTATAATCCCAGCACTTTGGGAGGCCGAGGTGGGCGGATCACGAGGTCAAGAGATCGAGACCATCCTGGTCAACATGGTGAAACCCCGTCTCTACTAAAAATACAAAAAATTAGCTGGGCATGGTGGCACGTGCCTGTAATCCTAGCTACTCAGGAGGCTGAGGCAAGAGAATTGCCTGAACCCAGGAGGCCGAGGTTGCGGTGAGCCGAGATCGCGCCATTGCACTCCAGCCTGGGTAACAAGAGCGAAACTCCGTCTCAAAAAATAAAAAAAAATGAAAGATAAAGTCTTTCCTAGACAAGGAAAAACTGAGGAAATTAATCACCACTAAACCAGGCATATATGAATTGCTTAGGCCAGGCACCTGTAATCCCAACACTTTGGGAGGCCAAGTTGGGGAGATCTCTTGAGCTCAGGAGTTTGAGACCAGCCTGGGAAACATGACAAAACCTTGTCTCTAAAAACATATGAAAGTTAGCCAGGCATGGTAGTGAGCACCAGTAGTCCCAGCTACTTGGGAGGTTGTGGGACGATGGCTTGAGCCTGGGAGGCAGAAGTGACAGTGAGCCGAGACTGTGCCCCTGCACTACAGCCTGGGTGATACAGCCAGACCTTGTCTCAAAAAAAAGAAAAAGGTGCTTAAAGGAGTCCTGCACCTGAAAGTCAGTATCTCCAATTATAAAAGCACATCAAAGTATAAAACTCACTGGAAAAGCAGATACACAAATGGTAAAGAGAAAGGAGTCAAACATTATTAACACACTACAGAAAACCAACCAGAAAACAATCGACAAAATGAAGGAATAATCTCCCTCTATCAGTAATAACTGTGAATGTAAATAAATTTCCCACATAAAATATGTGGACTGACAAAATGGATTTAAAAAGACATAAGTCCACTGCAACTTACCTACAAGAAAAACAGTTCACCTGTAAAGACAGACATAAACTGAAAGTAAAGGGATGGAGAGATATTCCATGCAAACAGAAACAAAAAATGAGGAGAAATAGCTATACATGTGTAAAATAGACTTTAGATCAAAACCGTTAAAAGAGACAAAGAAGTAATTATATAATGAAAGGGCTCAATTCAACAAGACTATATAGCAATTCTAAACATATAGGCACCCAACACTGGAGCACCTAGATACATTAAGCAAATAATAATAGCTCTAAAGGGAGAGAGAGCCTCCAATACAGTAATAATTGGGGACGTCAAAACCCCACTCTCAGTATTGCAATGGATCATCTAGACAGAAAATCAATAAAAGACACATTAGAGGATTTAAACTACATTTTATATCTAATGAAACTCCCAGACATTCACAGAACAAACATTGCATCTAACAGTTGCAGAATACACATGCTTCTCATCAGCACATGGAGCATTCTCCAGAATAGAATGTATATTAGGCCACAAGTCTCAACACATTTTTAAAAACTGAAATCATATATCTTCTTAGACCAAAAGAGAACATTTTTTTTTTTTTTTTTTTTTTGAGATGGAATTTCGCTCTTGTTGCCTGGGTTGGAGTGCAGTGGCGTAATCTCAGCTTGCTGCAACCTCCGCCTCCTGGGTTCATGCAATTCTCCCGCCTCACCCTCCTGAGGAGCTGGGATTACAGGTACCTGCCACGATGCCTAATTTTTGTATTTTTAGTAGAGACAGGGTTTCGGCTTGTTGGCCAGGGCTGGTCTCAAACTCCTTACCTCAGGAGATATACCCGCCTTCGTCTCCCAACGTGCTGGGATTCCAGGCGTGAGCCACCACACCCAGCCTAGAAAAATTTCTTAAAACAAATATAAATTGAAACACAACATACCAAAACCTATGAGATACAGCAAAAGCAGTGATACAAGGGAAGTTTATAGCAATAAATGCCTACATTAACAGATTAGAAAGATTCACATAAACAACCTAATGTACCCCAAGAAGCTAGAAAAGCAAGAACAAACCAAACCAAAACTAAAAGAAGGAAAGAAATAATAAAGATGAAGCAGGCTAGGCATGGTGGCTCATAGCTATAATCCCAGCACCTTGGGAGGCCAGGCGGGAGGATCATTTGAGGCCAGAAGTTCAAGACCAAACTGGGTAACATAATAACACCCTGTTTCTACAAAAAAAAATATTAGGCATGGTGGCATATGCCTATATTCTCAACTGCTCAGGAGACTGAGGTGGGAGGATTTCTTGAGGCCAGGAGGTTGAGGCTTCTTGAGCTGCAGTAAGCTATGACTGTGCCATGGCACTCCAGTGTGGGCAACAGAGTGAGACTCTGTCTCAACCAACCAAACCACCACCACCACCACAACAACATCAAAAGATCAGGGCAGAACTAAATAAAATAGAGTCTAAGCAAAAATACAGAGGATGAAACAAAAGAAAAATTGGTTTGATAAGTAAAATCAATAAACTACAAACTAGACTAACCAAGTAAAAAAGAGAGAAAACCCAAATAAAACCACAAATGACCACAGAAACACAAAGGATCATTAGAAACTATTATGAACAAGTATATACTAGCAAACTGAAAAACCTACAGGAAATGGATAGATTCCTGGATTGATACAACTTACCAAGATTGAACAAAGAAGAAATTAAAAACCTAAACAGACCAATAACAAGTAACAAGATTCAATCAGCACTTAAAAAGCCTCCCAAGAAAGAAAAGTCCAGGACTGGATGGCTTCACTTATCAATTCTACTGAGCTTATAAAGAACACACACCAATTCTCCTCAAACTATTCCAAAAAATCAAATGGAGGGAATTCTTCCTAACTCATCCTGTGAGGCCAGCATTACCCTGATACCACAACCAGACAAGGACACAACAAAAAAGGAAAACTATAGTTGAATATTCCTGCATAGAACAATAGAGAACCCAAAAGTTAAGACAAAAAATCCTTACCTAAATATTAATACTAACAAATCGATTCCAACAGCACGTAAAAAAAGATTATTCACCATAATCAAGTGGGATTTGTACCAAGGATACAAAGATGGCTTAACATATATGCAAAATCAATAAATGTAATATATCACATCAACAGAATAAAGAATAAAAACCTTATGATCATCTCAATAGATGCTGAAAGGGCATTTGATAAAATTTAAAATATTCCTAGGAACATATCTCAACATAATAAAGACCATATAAGAAAAACACACAAATAATATACTGAATAGGGAACAGTTGGAAGGCTTTCCTTTAAAAACTGGAACAGGTTAGGCACATGGCTCACGCCTGTAATCCCAGCACTTTGGGAGGCCAAGAGATTGAGATCATCCTGGCCAACATGGTGAAACCCCACCTCTACTAAAAATACAAAAATTAGCTAGGCGTGGTGGTGCACCCCTGTGGTCCCAGCTACTTGGGAGACTGAGGCAGGATAATCGCTTGAACCTGGGAGGCAGAGATTGCAGTGAGCCAAGATTGCACCACTGCACACCAACCTGGTAACCGGGTAAGACTCTGTCTCAAAAAACAAACAAAAAACTGAAACAAAATCTGGCCAGAGAGAGAAATAAAAGGCATCCAAACTGGAAAACAGAAAGTCAAATTGTCCCTCTCTGCAAATGACATGATCTTATATAGAGAAAACCCTAAAGATTCCATTAAAAAAACTCTTAGAACTGATAAACAAATTCAGTTAAGTTTCAGGATACAAAATCAACATACAAAAATCAGTATCATTTCTATAAACAAATAACAAACTAGCTAAAAAAGAAATAAAGAAAGCAAGCTTATTTACAATAGCTACAAAAAAAATCTAGGAATAAGTTTAACTAAGGAGTAAAAGATCTCTACAAGAAAAACTACAAAACACCAATGACAGAAATGGAAGAGGACACAAATGGGAAGATAGCCCATGCTCCTGGATTAAAAGAATTAATATTGTTAAAATCACCATATTACCAGTGATCTACAAATTCAGTACAATCCCCATCAAAATACCAATGACTTTCTTCACAAATACAGAAAAAACAATCCTAAAATTCACATGGAACCACAGAGACCCAGAATAGCAAAAGCAACTCTCAGCAAAAAGAACAAAGGTAGAGGCATCACACTATAACTTCAAAATATACTACAAGGCTATAGTAACCAAAATAGCATGCGATTTCTTTAATAACAGACACAAAGACCAATGTAACAAAATAGAGGACCCCAAAATACATTTATGTGTTTACAGCCAACTGATTTTTAATGAAGGTGCCAGGAGCATACATGAGATAGACAAAAGACATCCTGATGCTGGGAAAATTGGATATGAACATGAAGAAAATGACACTAGATCCCACATTTAAATGACTCTAACCACATTTAAAAAATCAACTCAAAATGGATTAAAGACTTAAACATTAGACTCAAAACTATAAAACCACTACTAAACAGAGGAGAAATGTTTCAGGCCATTGGTCGGAGCAGATTTTATGGCTGTTATTTCAAAAGAACAGGCAGTGCTTGCTTCAGCAGCACATATACTAAAATTGGAATGATACAGAGATGATTAGCATGGCCCCTGCATAAAAGGATGACACACAAATTCATGAAGTGTTCCATATTTTAAAAAGTACATTAAAAAATACATAAGAAGAAAGCGCAGGCAATGAAAACAAAAATAGAATAATGGAACTATATTAAACTAAAAATCTTCTGCAAAGCAAAGAAAACAATACAGAGACAATATGTAGAATGGGAGAAAATATTTGCACTAATCATCTGACAAGAGACTAATATCCATAATATACAAGGCACTCAACAACATAAAAACAAATAATCCCATTAAAAAGTGGGCAAAGGACCTGAATAAACACTTCTCAAAAGACATACAAATATTCAACAAGTATATGAAAAAATGATCAACTAGTCATCAGGGAAATGCAAATCAAGACCACAGTGACGTATGATCCTATCCCTGTTAGAATAGTTATTATCAAGAATATGTAAAATAACCAGTATTGGTGAGGATGTAGTGGAAAAGGAGCTCTTGTACACTGTTGCTGAGAATGTACATTAGTTTTCCACAGCCACTATGGAAAACAGTACAAAGCATTCTCAAAAAAAAAAAAAAAAACCTCAAAATAGAACTTCCAGACATTCCAGCAATCCCACTACTGGGTATTTATCCAAAGGAATGAAATCAGTATATCAAAGGGATACCTCTAGCCCCTTATTTATTGCAGCAATGTTCACAATAGCTAAGATATGAACTCAACCTAAGTGTCCATCAGTGGATAAATGCATAAAGAAATACTATTCAGTTATAACAAGAATGAAATCCTGTCATTTGCAACAACATGGATGAAACTGGAGGTTAACATTATGTTAAGTGAAACAACCCAGGCACAGAAAGACAAATATATTTTCACTCATATATGGGAGCTAAAAAAAAAAAAAAGTGATCTCATGGAGGTAGAGAGTAGAATGATAGTTACCTGAGGATGGGAAAGATGCAAGGGCAGGGACAGGCATAAAGAGAGATTGGTTAATGTGTACAAAAATTGAGTTAGGTAGAAGGAGTAAATTCGAGTGTTAGCACAGGAAGGTGACTACAGTTAACAATAATTTACTCAAAATTTCAACGTAACTAGAAGAGAAGATTTAAAATGTTCCCAACACAAAGAAATGATAAATGTTTGCAGAGATAGATATCCTAAATACTCTGATTTGATCATTACACATTGGATAAATATGTACAATTATTATGTATAAGAAAAAAAGTTTTTAAAAAAGAAATGTATTTTAAGTACCTGATAAGTAGCTGCATCTAGATTTGATAGTGCCACATACAGTAAATTATTCTGAAGAGTATATATCCCTGATGGAATAGCAAGTTTAAGTGTTTCCATAGGTTTATTAAGAATTTCATCATGTAGTACTCGATTCAGTGCTCTTAGACTACACTCTAGAAAATAATGAGAAAAATCAGTAATTAAGTAATTCTGAATAAGTTACATATCTACTCTCAAGATCTCAATTTTCTTACCTGTAAAAAAAGAAAATCGAGGTACATGTCAAGACACTTTTAAGTCTAAAATGTATCTTTATGATGCTGATTTTTTAAATGTTAAATGTTATAAAGTATTAAGAAACCTCATATTCTTTTATTCTGCTAATCAATTATATATATATATTTACATATATATATGCACACACACATACAAACACATATTTCTGACAGCCAAAAGCTCAAAGTTTTAATTTATCAACCAAGTATTCTTAGTTTATTATAGCAAGGTTATAAACACTTGTATTTTGTGCATTTCGTTTATCATCAGCAATTCGTACCAATTAGTAATTGTGAAGATTTTAATCATAAAAAGAAGGTAAATCAGTTAGGGAATGGGTTTGGTTGCAAACAACAAAAACCCAACCAACACTAGTTCAACCCATCGGGTCTCACATAACATGAGTCCAAATCCAAAGCTTTTATGGCAACTCAGGGACACAGGCGCTATCTCTGTAAGCACACCTCGTTTAATTGTGCTTTGTTTTATTACACTTTTCACTTTTTCAAATATTGCATTTTCTTCCAAATTGAAGGCTTGTGGCAACCTCGCATCAAGCAAGTTGCAGAGGCTGCCACAGTGTCTAGCTGTGAAAGGAAGGGCAAAGTCCCCAGGTCCGGTGGGGGGACAAAGAACCCTGAGAGAAGTGGGAAGGTAGATCCTGGAAGCAAATGAACCCACTCCTAAAAGTGACTGTCAGGCTGGGCACAATGGCTCAGGTCTGCAATGCCAGCATTTTGGGAGGTCAAAGCGAGAGGACTGCTTGAGGTCAAGAGTTCAAGACCAGCCTGATCAACATAATGAGACCCTGCCTCAAAAAATAAAAAACAATTGTTTTTAATATTCAATTAGCTGGGTGTTGTGGCATGCACCTGTAGTTCCAGCTATCCAGGAGGCTGAGGCAGAAGGATGACTCGAGCCCAGGAGTCTGAAGTTGCAGTGAGCTATGACTGTATAACTGCACTTTAGCCTGCACAAAAGAACAAGATCTTCATTTAAAAAAAAAAAAAGTGACTGTCACTGGCTTGAAAAGAAACCAGATTAACTCTGGCACAGGCTGCCAACCAGTAGTCTGAAAGAAGACTTGTTCTACTTCTCTCACCCTGACTGCAATCTTGAGACTGAGAAAAACTCAAAGTGGTGCCACCAATGGTCCTGGGTGGCATCAACCAGGCAGGAGAGGAAAAAAGAGAAAGCTGGGACCAGAGGATATCAGAGTTATGAGGAACCAACCTCTTCTTGGTTGCATGAATCTCTCATACAGCATTATCTTTTAAAGACCTTCCAGTATGTGTGTTGGAAACCCTCTAACCCCTGCAGCCCACCAATATTCTAGGTTCAGTTGGATTATCAAAGAGAGAGCAGGATTATCTCTTCATGTTAATACAATAATGCTACAAATAAAGCCTGCGTCTCTTCATACTGCAAATTATTAAAATTATGTCCAAGAGAGGCATACTTAGAAAAAATGGAGAGGCATAGCAGAAAAACAGAGTAACTACATTAAAGTAGAATAACAGGCTTTAAAATTTTCTGCAATATAACCTTGAGAAAATTCCTGGATGGTAAAATATGTATTAGATCTTAATACATGTTCAAGTTTTGGAAACCAAAATGTGCCTGGTATGTGATAATATCAACTAAGCACTATTCTAAGATCCATATATGTATAATTATATATAAATATATGTAACTTTATAAAACTATATAAATATGTTTTATATATATCTATAAACTGTATATATTTTGGCTTTTTAATCTTCATGCTTTTCATCTACTGTCTATATGATTATTGCAACAAGGTCACCAAAGTACTGCTGCATCTCTAGTTCCTGTTTCAGGCAGCAAAAGAAAAAGGTGGGGAGAGGAAACGGCAGCTTAGCAGGTAATTTCTTGGTTCTCATTGAACAGAACTATGTTGCATAACTACCCATGGCTGCAAGGAAGCTGGAAAGTCTTTTCCTTTATTTCCTCCATGTTAGAGCCAAGTAAGGGAGTAAGGGATTGAAAATGAACTTTGAACTGGTCAACCTTACTGTATCAGTCACAAAAAAACGGCCAAAGATCTTTTAGAGATGCATATATAAATTCCTCAAAAAAATGAGAAATTCTAAAGAACCCTAGAATTAGGGATCTAAGGAACCTAGAATTATTCTAATTATTCTAAGGAACCCTACAATTATTTACCAATAATGACACTTTTGACAATTTTTTCCTCCCAATACACATCATTAGGAAAACTGATTATGGAAAGTTTTTTTTAAATGAAGAAACTTTAAAATTGCTACCTGATTACTCACCCTCTCCTCACCCCAAAATAATAGTTGAAAAATTCTTAACAAAAAGTTACCAAAATATTTTTTTCTTAGTTTTACCAGAAAAGAAAACTAAAATATTACCTTAATTTTATGTTATTTTATTTTTAGAGATAAGGTCTCACTATGTCATCCAGGCTAGATCCCAATTCTTGATCTTAAGCAATTCTCCCGAGTAACTAGGACTATAGGTGTGCATTGAACCTGATTATTTTTTAATTTTTAAATACTTTTTTTTTTGAGACGCAATCTCACTGTCACCAGGCTGGAGTGTAGTGGTGCGATCTCAGCTCACTACAACTTCTGCCTCTCAGGTTCAAGCGATTCTCCTGCCTCACCCTCCTGAGGAGTTGGGATTACAGGCATATGCCACCATGCCCAGCTAATTTTTCTATTTTTAAGTAGAGATGGTGTTTCACCATATTGGCCAGGCTGGTCTTCAACTCCTGACCTCAGGTGATCTGCCCGCCTCTGCCTCCCGAACTGCTGGAATTACAGGCATGAGCCACCACACCCAGCCTTTAAATTCAATTTTTAAATGATCAATGCTATCACATATTTTTCTTACCAATATTTTCAGGAAGGTCTGGTTCCACATTCTCACCAATTCCTTATATAGTTAATATCTTTTATTTTTGCCAATTTGAGGGCAGTGAAATTGTGTCCTGTGGTTTTAATCTGATTTCCTTGGTGGCTAGTGGAGTTGAGCATCTTTTTATATATTTATCAGCCATGCAGGCTTTTCTTCTGTGAATTACCTGTTTATACCCTTTGCCTGCTTTTCTATTAAGTTATCTTTTTCTGATTGAGTTGTAGGAGTGATTACAATTCTGGATATTAATTAGTGGTAGTTACATGTGATATAAATATCATCTCTTAATCTGTGACTTGTCTTCTTACTTGGTTTGATTTACAAATGTTTTTCATTTTAATAAACCCTAAATTATCTATTTTTTTCCATTATTTGTACCTTTTGTATGTTGTTTGAAATCAGTCACAGTAGTAAGGTCATAAAGTTTTGCTTTTTTTTTTTAAACAGAATCTTGCTCTGTTGCCCAGGCTGACAGTGGCCGATCTTGACTCACTACAACCTCCGCCTCCCAGGTTCAAGCAATTCTCCTGCCTCAGCCTTCCGAGTAGCTGGGATTACAGGTGCCCACCACTACATCTGGCTAATTTTTGTATTTTTAGTATAGATAAGGTTTCACCATGTTGGTCAGGCTGGTCTTGAACTCTTAACCTCATGATCTGCCTGCCTTGGCCTCCCAAAGTGCTGGGATTACAGGCGTGAGCCACCGTGCCCAGCCAAGTTTTGCTTTTTAAATGTCAATCTTTAATCTACCTGGAATCTATTTTTCTGTATGGTGTGTCTATTCATGCTTTGGTTCACTGAAAGTTGGTTTTACCACATTTTTACCACATCTCTCTACAATGCAACTATTTGTGTCAAAGATATCTTTGGTTCCGTAACGTTAAATGCAGTTAACACTTGTGCTCATCTATATCTCAGCAGCAAAAACACTACTATCTCAGCTTGGCTATTACATTTCCATTTATCTTTCTGTTTTGCTTCAGTCTTCTTTTGCTGATTCCTCCTGCGGAATCTGACCTCTAAATATTGGGAATGCAACAGAGCTCAGTCTTTGGCCTTCTCCTTTTCTAATATACACTAGGTTATTTCATTCAATCCTTGACTTTAAAGCAATATGTAAACTGACAAATTATTGAACTCCATATGCATAGACTCTACTATTTGACATCTCAATATGAATACCTTATAGCTGTCTGAAACTTAATGTGGTCCAAAAAGAAGCTTTACTTTTCCCCAAATCTATTTCTATATATCATTCTTCGCACACCTATTGCAGCACCTGTTCACCAATAGTTTAATCTAAAAACTTAGCAACTATTCCTCACACTGAATTCCTCCTTTCTTCCGACTTTCATGTATTCAATCTTTTAGCATGTCATGTCAGATGTAGTTGGAAAGAAAATACACAGTAAGGACTGGGTGCAGAGGCTCACACCTGTAATCCTAGTACTTTGGGATGCTGAGGTGGGCAGATCACTTGAGGTCAGGAGTTGGAGACCAGCCTGGCCAGCCTGGTAAAACCCTGACTACAAAAAGTATGAGGGCATGGTGACACGCACCTGTAATCACAGCTACTCAGTCAGGAGGCTGAGGCATAAGAAATGCTTAAATCTGGGAGGTGGAGGTTACAGTGAGCCAAGATCGAACCACTGCACTGAAGCCTAGGCAACATAGTGAGACTCAGTCTCAAAACAAAAACAAAAATAAAACACAAAAAGCCAAAAAAAAAAAAATCCATAAAACTTCATCATTAGTCATTAGAGAAGCACAAGTCAAAACCACAATGAGATACTACTTGACATCTACTAGAATGGCTATTAAAAAAATAAAAACTGAAAATAATAAGCACTGGTGAAGATATGGAGAAATAGGAACCTTTGTACTTTGCTGATGGAAATGTAAAATGGCCCAGTTGCTATGAAAAACAGTTTGAGGATTCCTTAAAGCGTTAAACATAGAATTACCATATGACTGAGCAATTCTACGCCTAAATATATACCCAAAAGGAATGAAAACAAGGATTCAAACAGATTCTTGTACATCTACTGAGGCTGAGGCATTACTCATTGTTCTTTCTAGCATTATTCACAATAGCCAAAAGGGGGAAACAACCCAAGTGTCTGTCAACACATGGATGCATAAAAATGTGCTATGTCCATACAACAGAATGTTATTCAGCCATAAAAAGGAATAAAGTTCTGATACATGTTACAATGTGAATAAACCTTGAAATCATTATGCTAAGTGCCTAATTTAAAAGGACAAATACTACATGACTCTATTTATATGAAATATTTACAATAGGCAAATTCACAGAGGCAGAAAGTGAATTAGAGGTTACTAGGGGCTGTGGGTAAGGAAGAATGGAGGTTATTACTTAACAGTTACAAAGTTTTTGTTTGAAGTGATAAAAACATTTTAGAACTGGATAGTGGTCACTATTGTACAACATTGTAAAAGTAATGATGAAGTGTCACTACAAATAGTTAAGACAGCAAATTTTATGTTATATGTATACACTTTACCACAGTTTTAATAAATTAAAATTGAAATACACCAAAATACCATTAAATAATATACTTTAAGCACATAAATTATATGGCTCGTGAATTATCGCAATAGAACTGTTTTTAAAAACTATATAAAATTAATCACTGCTGGACTAATCAAAGCAAATAAAAAGAAGGTGTTTACATTAGTAAAAAAATTATTATGATTTTTCTAAAGTTCTAACAGTAACAGAATTATAAAATTTACTTTTACTCTCAAATTGTCATAAATACAAGAAACTATTTCATATTTACAGAATTTACCAGAAGATATGACTCATGATGCAGATTAAAATAAAATGCCTTTATTACAAGACTGAAAATGTCTTTAAAAAATTTTTAAAATATTGAAATGTTCTTCATACTAGGCCATTCAAGAATGCAAGAGTGCAAATGTGCAGTTACCAACATACATATGTAAACTAAATAAACTGCATTGATTAAAAACAAAAAACCTAGATACCTACTGCTGTCTTTGTAGACCAATAAAATGCAGGCCATTATCTTCAAAAGTTCAGCAACAACCACTGCTGTAGAAGATAGGTAACGAGGCCCTTCCTCTTTTAAAGTTCTAGAATAACGCATTGTTAGAACCAAACTGGTAGTCTGAAAGACCAAAATTCCCAAGGAAAGGTATTTTAGGTTGGTGGACATTGTTTTATCTTCATTTGCCTGAAAAACAAAATAAACAGGGCAAATAAATAACATGACAACATATGAAAGCTAGTATATTAAAAGACACTAAGAGGGAGAAAGGAGAGGGCCTGCAGGTCTCTTCTCCACCTGCCACAAAAAATAAAAAGTAAAAAAAAAAAAAAAAAAAAACCAGAAACCAAGAGACTTCTTGTTCCAGCCAAGATGAAATAAGCACAATCCACCCTATTCTTTCTGCTAATTGCAACCAAAAACCTTGAATTGGAAACAAAAAGAAACTACCAGAAGAATCTGAAAGGTGAAGAAAATAAGGTAAATTGGCTAGGGATGTCAAATCTTAAGAGATGACTACAACAGTGAATTCCCTAGAGATATTTTTGCCACAGATGTAAACTACTTTGGGTGCTACAGAAGCCTACAACCTGAAACTGCTCAAAGGCATAGAACAACAACAACAACAAAAGCCCCAAGAAAAACACAGTCACCCCAAAACCTAAAATGCAATTAAAAAAAAAAAAAAGAAAAAGAAAAACACACTGTCTCTAACCAAAGGCCAGAGAAGACAAGAGAATCTTTCAGGATAAAATCCCTTCAACTGGTTACCGTGTATTCAGAAAGACAGAACTTTACTGAGCATCCTCATCTTGAACCAATGAGAGCAGAGGTGGTGGCCCATCCCCCTCCCGCACTAGGTTACAGCCACAGAAACTGTGGGACAGAGCCCTGCTTACCATTCCTGCCTGATAGAAGGCAAATGTCTGCAAGGAGTACCTTTTCTCCCTCCCCAGTGGCTATTAACATAGAAGATTTAAATAGAAACCAGAGTCTCATAATATAATATGCAAAAAGTTCAGGAAACAATCCAAAGTAAGTATACTTATTAAACCAACAAACAGAAAAAAAGTCTCAGCTTGGATGAGTAAGGAAAACCAACAAACAACAATGCAGACATGACACAGTTGTTGCAATAATCAGAAAAGAATTTCAAGCAAGCTATTTTAAAAATACAGCAACAAGCAGTTATGAAGACTTAAAACAATTTTAGACTCATATAGTTTTTTAAAAAGTACAAGAATTCACATGTACCATTCACCCAGCTTCCCCCAATGATAATAATTCAAAATCCCTATATTTTTCCAATTCAGTATTACTCCAGGAGACTTACTTTAAATATGAAGACATATATAGGTTAAAAAATAAAAGGATAGAAAAAGATATATCATGAGAAAAAATAACTAAAAAATTAAAGAAGTTTTATTAATATCAGCCAAAATGGATTACATAAGATTTCTGTAATCAAAGAAAGCTATTTCACCATGATAAAAGGGTTAATACATTAGAAATACATAACCATTTAAAATACGTATGTGCCTGATAACACACCTTCAAATACATAAAGCAAAAACTAACATAACTAAAGGGGAAAACAAGTAAATGCAGTCATAATTAAAGATTTTTAGCCTACTTTTCTCAGTAATTAATAACAAAAAAAAAGAAAACCCAGTAAAATTATACAAAGTCTGAAAATCTGAACACTATCAACCACCATTACCATGGTAGACATAAAAATAATCTACCAGATTTTACTTCAAGGAAGGACTTAATACAGAGTGTGTAACACCTGACTGCTCTCCTAGTCAAGATCACATCTTTTGTCTTAGATTTATCTGAAGATTCAATTCAATTCTGAACAAAATGCCTGTAGGCTTTTTTGGTAAACAAACAAAAACACAAACTAAGCAAGCTGATTTTAAAATTATATAGAAATACAAAGGACCTAGACTACCAAAATAATTTTGAAAAAGAAAAACAAAATTGAAAAAGTTAAGCTACCAAACTTCCAGACTTACTACAAAACTATACTAATCAAAACTGGTACTGGCATAAGGACGGAAACATAGCTCCATAGAACAGAATATAGTCCAGATTTAGATCCATATGTCTTGTCAGCTCAGGCTGCTATAATGAAGTATCACAGACTGAGTGGCTTATAAACACAGCAGTTTATTCCTCACAGCTCTGGAGGCTGGAAGTCCAAGTATCAGAGGCCAACATGGTTGGGTTCTACTGAGGTTCATCTTCTAGGTTCACAGATGTGTGTCTTCTCATTGTATTCTCACATGGCAGAGAATATAGAGAGAGTTCTCTGGGGTCCCTTTTCATAAAGGCACTAATCTCATTCATGAGGGCTCCACTTGCACGACCTAATTACCTCCCAAAGGCGCTACTTCCTAATACCATCACATTGAGAGTTAGGATTTCAACGTGAATTTGGGGAAGCAGGGGACTGAGGGGAGAAGAGTACAAATATTCAGTCCATTATACCATACATAAATAATCAAACAATATTTGACAAAGGTAGAAAAAAAAAAGGACAGTCTTTTCAACAAATAGCTCTGAACTGGAATAATGAGATACACGTATTTTTAAAAAATAACCCTCTACCCCTAACTTTCTCACACCAAATATTAACTAGAAATGGATCATACAGCCATTACAAAATCTGAAACTATAAATATTCAATAAGTAAACACAAGAAAAAAAACTGTAATCATGTAGAGATAGAACAAGAGTTCTTAGGATACAAAAAGCACAAACCATAAATGAAAAAGTGGATAAATTACACACATCAAAATTTAAAAATGGGCCAGGTGCAGTGGCTCACACCTGTAATCCCAGCAGTTTGGGAGGATGATGGGGGTGAATCACCTGAGGTCAGGAGTTCAAGACAAGCCTGACCAACATGATGAAACCTCAACTCTACTAAAAATACAAAAATTAGCCAGGTGAGCTGGTGGGTATCTGCAATTCCAGCTACTCAGGAGGCTGAGGGAGGAGAACTGCTTGAACCCAGGAGGCAGAGGTTGCAGTGAGCCAAGACTGTGCCAGTGTACTCCAGCCTGGGCAACGAGAGCGAAACTCTATCTCCAAAAAGAAAGATATTTTTTCAATAAAGACAAATGAGTAGCTAATAGACATATGAAAAGGTGTTCAACATCACAGTCATTAGAGAAATATAAATTAAGACCACAATGCATCTATTAAACTACCTAAATTTTAAAAACTGATACAAGCAAGTGTTGAAGAGGATTTAAAGCAAACAGTCCTCAACACTGCTAGTGAAAACTGTAAAATGGTACAACCACTTTGAAAAAACTCATTAATGCCTTATTAAAAGAAAACAGCACTTTGGGAGGCTGAGGCTGGAGGATCACTTGAGGCCAGGAGTTTGAGACCAGCCCGGAAACATATTGAGACCCCATCTCTACAAAAAGTTTAAAAATTAGCTGGGTTTGATGCTACAGGCATGTAGTCCCAGCTACTAAGGAGGCTGAGGCAGGAGGATGGCTTAAGCCCAGGAGGTTTGAGGATATAGCGAGCTATGATTGAGCTGCTGTATTCTAACTTGAGCAAAAGAGAAAGACCCTCTCAAATAAAAACAAAAAGAGGATAGGAGACAGTAGGGAAGGGGAGGGGAGAGGAGACCAAAGGAAGGAAGAAAGGAGAGGAGGGGAAGGGAAGAGAGAAGCTGGGGAAGGGAGGAGAGGGGAGGGGAGGGGAGAGACAGAAGAAAGGAAAGGAAGAGAAGGAAGAAAACAATAATAATCTTTTCATATGACCTAGCAATTCCACTCTTAGGTATACCCAAGAAATTCGAAAATATATGTTCACAACAATATTTGTACATGAATATTTACAGGAGCTTTATTTGTAACACCAGAAATGAAATAATCCAAATGCCCATAAATATCTGAATAAATGAACCTATGTGGTATATCCATACAATGGAATAATACTGAGCTATAAAGGAATAAAATACTGCCACACTAAGCACCCCCCCAAAAAGTCAAAAACATACTGAGCAAAAAACTTTAAACAAAACAGTATAGTGTATACTATCTTTCCATTTATATAAAATTCTAGAAAAAGCAAAGTTAAACTATAGTGACAGATGCAAACTTATGGTTACCTATAGACAAGGGCTGGGGTTGAGGGTTGACTGCAAAGGGACAGCAAAGAATTTTTGGTAGTGGTAGAAATACTCTGTGTGGTGGTTATATGATTGAATTTATTTATCAGGGTACAATGGTTCATTATATTCAATGGGTACATTTTATTGTATGTAAATTACAACTTGATAAAAGAATCAAAGATTGAGGTCATACCAAATAATAGCATTCCTCACCAGGCTTTCTTCACAACTTTAGTTCTAGCTCTGATTTCTTTGGATTAATTCTAAAGATATTCTGTTAGTCTATTATTCACCCCACCTCTATCTTTTCCATGAGTCTAACTCCTACCTAAATTTCTTCAAATGTGAACCCTGTTTATAGTGTGTCTCTTTAGAGCTCTCACAACCCAAGCTATCAAGCTACCAGTTTGCTACAACCAAGCTACCACAGTTTATGCATGGTTGTATATATGTAATCCTTAACTCCTAATTATTGTAATATATATAATATATTCAAATGGATTCAACAATAATTATTTCATGCCTACATTAAGCTAAGTACCATAGTTACAGAGAGATCTATTCTTAAAGGCATAAAGTCTAGCTTACTAAATTCAGCAAATCCTATCCTCAACTGAATGTGCTCCAAACACGAACAGTGAGCACCATGAATATAAGGATAAAATTCTTAATGGTAAAATATGTATATTTACCACTAAATATACATAGATTACAATTATTGGAAAAAATGATTTTAAGCAATTGACTTTCAGAGACACAAATTGAATAATATATCTCTTGTTACAAATAGAGGATCAAGCTTAAAGGAAAGAATATATATTTTTCTTAATCATCTATCTCAATTTGGTAAATCTCTAATAGCAAAGTCCAATGTGAAATAAAATTATAGCATTTTAGAGGTAGATGTTTTAGAAATCATCTAATATAATCTCTTCACTTTAAAATGAAGAAAATAGTGAAAAGCGAGGTAGATGATTTGTTCAAGGTCACTGCTAGTAACTGGACACACTAGTCTATATAGCTTATATCAGGCCTCCTGGCTCCC